CAATGGATGGGCCGGCGCCCTCTCGCCTCTCACTAGTTAACTGTAAGGCTGCCCTGTGGTGCCTGGGGAGGAAATATGGGAAGAACCCAATAGCATTTATGACAGTGACTTTTCTGGGTGACAGAGACAGCCACCTGGGCTCTCAGGTCTAGCCAGCCCCAGAGCGTCTGGGACCCCTCCCCTTTCTGGCACATATGGTCTGGAGCACACAGGCCGCGATCTCCCAGAAGGGAGCATAGGGGACCCGGCCTCAACCTTCATTCTCTTTTGGTCTGAAGGACTCACACGGGGTGCAGAGCGGCCGGACCAGGACTGGTCTCACGGGGTGGCCCTACAGCTGCCCGTGCTCCCTGTGGGGATCCCACGTTGACACGGTCAGACCACGGCTCTTTAGTTTCGTCTGCTGAGACCTGGGCGGGGGGGCGGGGGGGTGGCTAGAGGCTCTGCAAGGTGGGCCTCACCTCACAGGTGACAATGGCAGGCTCTGGTCTCCTAGGGGCCCCCAGCCTTCGCCACCCCCCCACAGCCCCTTACCTCCTGTTGCTGCAGGCCCCCTTCCGTCCCCCGTGCTCGGCCAGCCTGACAGGGTCCGGGTCTGGGCAGGCCATCCTTTTCCTTCGGGCGTCCTTTGATCCCAAGCCAGAGCCACACAGCTTGGGAGAAGGGCAGGTCCCCGCCTGAGACGGGGTCTGGGAGGACTGTCCCACCCCCAAAGCCCCCCCCTCCGCCGGAGGGCCCGCCCACGGGAAGCCACCCACTGCTCTCTGAGTCCAGAGAGTGCTGGGGGGGGGGCTCTCTGGATTCCCAGCTGTTCCCTCAGGGGTCCCTGGCCTCAGTGGGGTGTCCTAGTTTGTGCCCCCATCTGAGGGAACCCCCCCGGGACAGGTCTGCCCAATCCCCTTGAGCTCCGTGCCAAGAGGCAGGCAGGGGTGCCGGGTGGCCCAGACCGCTGGCTCTGCGGCAGGGCCCTGGGCTGGTCCCCATGCCTGCCATCTGCTCTGCCCCGCGGCACCGAGGTTGCCTCTCAGTGTGCGGATCCACCACGCGGGCAGCTCCCAGGCGCTGGCCGTGACTCAGAGTCCGTCTCGCCCCTGAGCTCCTGTGGACGCCCGCCCGTGAGGTCTCCCCGCGGCATCCTGGGGCCCCAGCAGCCTCCTAGTGCCCCGAGGGTGGGGCTCTCCTGTTTCCCCTCCTCCTCCCTCATGGGACCTGCTGAGGAGGAGCAGGGAGAGGGGCTCCGGGCAGCCCTTCCCCCGGCTCTCTCCCACGGAGGGGCCACTGTGCGCCCCAAGGCTACTGCCCACAGTCCCCTGGGCTCAGTCAGGTGACCCACCACCATCCCACCCTGAGAGTGGCCCGGGCAAACCCCTTTGTTCTTCCAAAAAGCTGTGGTCTGGGGACAAGTGTGTATTTCCCACACTGGGGAGCCACAAACGTGGCGGGTAACTCAGTGCGAGGCACAGGGCAGAAAGTACTGGAGGGAAAACCTAGAGGCAGAGACTGAGGCAGGGTTCACAGGGCCCTATGATGCCAGGACAGGCGCTGTGGGCCCGCACGGCTGCATAGACAGGCGGGTGCTGGCACATGTGGATGACCTGTGTTCCAGCTGTCCACACCCATGAGCCTCTAGGTACCTGAAAAGGAATTAGGAGGGTCCGGGCAGCACCTGGCCTGCCATGCACCATAGAGGGAGATTTAGGGTGGGGAAGACGTTCAGGGGACAAGGGGGACCTTGGAGTTTGGACTCGGGTCACCTGGTTCCCAGACTCCACAGGAACGCGGTGGTGAGGGTAACCGTGAGATCATTCTGTGTAGACAAAGGTTGTCCCTCTTGGGTGACATAAGACCTAACCCCTGCATGATTCCTTGGTGCATCATGACATCAAGGGTGCTTTTGCAAAGGGACAGCGGGGATCTGGACATGAGCCCTGTGGAGGCGTGATGCACGGAGCATGCACCTAACACAGTAAGCACGTGCCGGGTCATAGCTTGTCACAGGGCAAGGGGCACCCTGAGGCCCGCGCCCACCCATGAATGTGCAGCCCAGACCTCGGCCTCCTCAAGGACCAGGCATCCTGATGGGGAGGGACCTCGTTTGTACCCCTGGGACATGCAGAGCCCAGCTTCCTGACACGGCCCCAGGACATCGTGGTTGGGGGATCCCTGCTGGGCTACCCCTCAGAGCCAACCCCGCACTGCACACAGAACCAAGCTGAGATGACAGCCTTGGGGACCCACGGCGGGCTGGGAGCTGTCCAGGCAAGTGGCATGCCACCTGATGAGAGAGACTTTCACCCTCTGAAGAAAGAAAGAGGCACCTCGGACATGGGGGTCACCTTAGACATCAGGCATCACCTCGTGCACAGGTCACCTTGCGGGCAGGCTGTCTTTCCTTGGGCCGCACCAGGAGACTGAGGGATACTGGTGGCCCTGAACCTGGCTGGGGGCGCAGGGAGTTGAGATACCAGAGACCAGCTGGCCCAGAAGTCAGCCCTCAAGGTCAGAGGCAAAGACCTGGCCAGCAACTCCCCTGCCCCTTTCCTCCCCAACCTTCCTCACTAGAGGGGACGCTTGGGCTTTAACACCCTCATGACCAGGACATCTGAAGTCTTAGTCCTTTCTCAAGTGACATGCTAGCAAACGGTTTTGGGGCTTCCATTAAAACCACGTCTTTTATTTAGAAAACAGCTAATAACATTAGAAAAGGCAGAATCTTGGGCAGTAATATTTCCAATCATTTACATTTTTGGTTGTAAATTACAATAACAAAGGAAGCAAGTCTATGCAGAATGTTGTATAGAATGTATTTTTGCAAGTCAGCAAAAATAGATTAATTTGGAGGAGGTAGTGTAAAATAATAGTAACTATCATGGATTAAAGGCCCATACACCTACTTATGATTTTAAAAAACAACAACAAGCTTCTCAGAGGACTGCAAGAGAAGGAACCCTCTCCATGACAAAGAACATCTACGAAAAACTAAACGCCTAAGGCTAACATCACACTTCAGGCTGAAACATTGAGTATTTTCCTCCCCAGACTGGGAACGGGGTGGGAACGACCACTCTGACCAAGGCAGGTATGTCTGGCCAACACGGTGCCTGCCACGTAGTAGTTGCCCAGGAAATGGCTGGCTAACTGAGTGCATGAATGGATGAGAGGCAGGCTCTGCAAGGGCGAGGAAGCCCAAGTGAGCAGAGGCCCTGGGGCAGGGGTGGGCGGGGCTGATTTGAGCCACGCCCACTGGAGGAACTGGACTGGGGGCAGGGGAGGAGCAGGCTTTGTTTTTTTGTTTGTGTTTGTGTTTTTGTTTTTTAATTTTTTAAGGTTTCTTTTTGTTTTTGAGAGAGAGAGAGAGAGAGAGTGTGAGTGCACGGGCGTGAGAGAGCACAAATGGGGGAGGAACAGAGAGACAGGGAGACACCAAATCCAAAGCAGGCTCCAGGCTCTGAGCTGTCAGTACAGATCCTGACATGGGGCATGAACCCACAAACTGTGAGATCATGACCTGAGCCAAAGTCAGACGCTTAACCGACTGAGCCCCCCAGGTGGGAGGCAGGGTGAAGGCTGACACCAGAGGCCAGCTCCTTCCACCGAGGGCACTCCCCAGGCAGCTGGGGAAACAGGCTCACCATCCCCCTCCACGGACTTCCTTCTTGCCAGCCTGCCTCCCCTCGTGCTAATGGCAATATGCTTGGCCGAGAGTTCTGTCCTAGAGATGACAGCTACCCCAACACATTTCTAGGTCAGTGTAGGCTGACCATGAAAGAATTCATTCCCCCTCCCACCTAATGGCGCAACACACACACACACACACACACACACACACACACTCATGATTCTTGGTCCAGTGAGAGTGGCATCCAAGGACTAAGCCTGGTCCTGGGGTCGTCACCTCTTCTATGTTGCACACAAAGGATCCAATGAGATACATTTTTGCATAACCCCAACATTTACTTAGGTCTCAACAAGCATTTGTGGAGTGAATGAAAGTTTCCAACAACAAGAATTTAAAAAAAAAAAAAAAACTAGCAGGAAGACCCTGAAAATAGATTAGGTTCTGAAGGGTTCTAGGGGTCCTCTATATTTGATAATTTTTAAAATAATGGACTCCAACATCTTGCTACGAGATTGATAGTTGAAATAGAAAGAGCTAAATTTAGGGGCACCTAGGTGGCTCAGTCGGTTAAGCACCGGACTTCAGCTCAGGTCATGATCTCATGGGCTCATGGGTTCAAGCACCACGTCGGGCTCTGTGCTGATAGCTCAGAGCCTGGAGTCTGTTTCAGAGTCTATGTCTCCATCTCTCTCTGACCCTCCCCTGCTCACACTCTGTCTCTCAAAAATAAATAAATGTAAAAAAAAAAAAAAGAAAAAGAAAGAAAGAGCTAAATTTAGGGAGGAAATGTGACATTAGGCTACAGGCTGAATATGGAGCAAGACTAAGGAAAAGCTGAGCAGAAGAATCTCTGTGTGATGTGAATGAGCTGTCTGTTTATTCTTGTTTCCAGAACAATGGAGCTCACCATTGACGTCAATGTATGTGAAGAAACAAAAGGCCTTTGGGTGTGTGCAGGGTGCAGCTGAGCCTGGATTTGCTTGGTGTGTGTGTGTGTGCATGTGTATGTGTGTGTGTGTGTGTGTGTGTGTGTGTGTGTGTTAGGCAGGGAGGCACGGAGGGTTTCCAGGTGTCAGTGTCAGAGAAACAGGAGGAGGGGCCACTATCACTTTGGTGTGTGGACCGCACAGCAGGCCCCTCAGGGCTTATGTGGGAAGGGCTGTCCTGATGAACTTGGTATTTGCCCCAGTTTGCATCTGTGTCTGACAAAGCTGTATCCACACCTTGTCAAGGAGAGGGAAAGAAGTGGCTCCAACACAGGAATTCCTGAGTGTGGGTTTGGCTTTGAGAACTAGCAGCTTAGTTTGCCTGCAGGGAGATGGAGGGAAATGCTGGGCCCCTTCAGCCCCTCAGAGCCCAGCCAGCCTCCCCTGCCCGCCGGGACCCTGAAGTCTCTGAGCCTGTAGCAGCTGAACTGCCTCAGAGCCTGCATGCTGTTTCATGTTCTACAAGCAAGCCTCAGCCCTCCAGCTGGTCTGAGAGTAAGTTCCACTCTCTCTCTCCTGGTTCTTTAAACAGAAGGCTCGGGCTTAAGGTGCCCCCAACAATGCTTACTGAAAGAAAAAGTGGCAGCAGGATGCTCCGGACCTACTGTGTCCCAGAGCCCTATATACCCACCCCCGCCCCGCCCATGTGCCTCTGTGGCTCACGCCTTCTGAAAACCTCCCTTTTCCAAATGCCTTTCCAATACTCTGATTTATCTTCAGATCGCACACATCTTTCGCCTTTTACCAAATGCCTTTCCTTTCCCCTCTTCAAGTGCTGCTTCCCCCACGGACCCTCTGCGGATAACTCTGACCTTGGTTAATCTAAGATCCACGCCGCCCCATTTAGTATTTAAGTTCCCTTTTTATGAAGGAGACAGTCCTTTTCCCCTAATGACGTGGTTGGGAGCAGGGACACCGCTTCTTTCTTTGGTACCCGCTCCTAGTAACAATGTCCTAATTTGCTGAATCAAAATTTGCAACACATGATGTCATATATAAGAAAGGCCACTTGGAAGCTGAAGTCCTGGCAGGTGAGGACTTCGGTGGCCTGGGTGGGCGTGCACCCGGCCGGCTGGCCAGCCTTGGGTGGTTCCCCAGCAGCTTCAGCGCCCAGCTAAGGATGAATGGGAGTGAGTAAATGAATGAATAGGAATGAAAGATGTCCGCAGAGAGTTTCTCGCGGGGGCGCGCCTCCGGCCCGTAGCCACAGGTGGCGGCCTTCCAGGGCCCGGGCTTCAGCAGGATTCCGGCGGCCCAGCCGGCGGGTGCAAGGTGCACTGGACCGGGTCCCGTCCCGCACCCAGCTCCCCCCGGCCGAGGTGGTACGCGCCACTCCGAGCTGCCCTAGCCACATGACGCCGGCCGTCTTGAATGGGAGACGCCGAGACCGGAAGTGGAAGGGACCACTCGCGAAGACGAGGAGGGGGAGCCGAGCGCGCCGCGTCTTCATTGAGGAACCGACGCGGTGAACATGGAGTTCCATGTGCGACTTATGTAAAGAGAGCGATGGGCGCTGCAGCCAATGAACACGCGGCGCTGGCAGGCTCGGCCCCCTCGGTATGCAGATGAGGCTGAGCGTCGGCCAATGGCTGGAGGCGGGGGCGGGCGCGGCGCGCGCAGTCACGTTTTCCACTATGTGACAGCCGCGGCGGCGCTGCGGGCTACGCGCTGCTCGCGGCGGCGGCGGCGGCGGCGGCGGGAGCCGGGTTGGCGGAGCCACGCGCGGACGGACGCACGGACCAGCGGGGACGCGGCTCGGTGAGGGCGCGGCGTGACACGGCGGGCGGGGCGGGCGGGTGCCAGGCTGCGGCGCCGAGCGCGGTCGGGCAGCCCCCCTGGCTGGTTACGTAACCGCCGGGTTGGGCCTCGGGCAAGCGGTCTGGGGGTCCGTGGACCGGCGCCGGGCGGGCGGCGGCGGCTCCTGCAGCCCACGGAGGCGTAGTCCCAGAGTTTTCTGGGCCATTTGACTCCTCTCGTCTTAAAGGGGTGGTCTGGGGTGAGTACTGTTATCCCCATTTGGCAGATGGAGAAACTGAGGTCCAGAGAGATTAGTTAGGCAACTTGTCCAAGGTCGCGGAGCTACCGAGTGACTCCCACACGGGGACTGTTCTTCTCTAGATGATCTTCTTTAATGGACCCTACCCCGCCTCCCTGTGCCCCACGGGGAGAGGGTCCTGGGAAGGCTAAGGTCACCGGTTCAGTGCAGCCTTTCTGGGAACACGCAGGGCCCCTTGGGGGGCTGGCTTCCTGCTCTGAGGCCAGAGAGCCACGTCTCAGGCTGGGGAAGGACCACTGATGGGCGCTGGTCTAGGAGCGTTACCCGGGCAGCCCATGGGCCCCGTGGGCTAGGTGAGCAGAAAGAAGAGAGCCCCAGTGCCCAGGCCAGACCTAGAACCCTGTGGGCAGGGAGGCCGCACCCAGGGTTCACCCCCTTTGCCTCCCCTGGACCTCCCTGTATTGACCCCCTCTCCCCAGATTCAGTAGAAGGGGGCCCCGCTGTGTGATGAGCAATCACACCATCTTTTGGGGATGTACCTTGGCTGCCACGGCCAGCACATGGACCAGGGGGCAGGTAGCGGCCTGCTTCTGCGCTCCAGAGAGGCCAGGTAAGGGACGAGAATCTGGTTGCTGGGGTTTCCGTAATGTACACAGCAGAAAGCAGTTTGGAAAGCTGATTCATACAGCAGAGACAGAAGGCGCCCTGGAAGCCATCCAAGGTAACACCTTGGCTTGACAGATTAGGAAACTGAGGCACACCCCACCGCAGGGCCAGGCCAGGCCGTGGGTTTTCGCCGCGACCTTTCCATCCTCCTGAGGCTCTTGATCTGGGTCGGGGTGAGCGTCCCACATTCTACAGAGGCCTGAAACTGGGTGCCGAATGCTGACTGGGCCAGAATTTGGGGAGAGGAGCCCCAGGTCCCCCAAATGTTAAGAAGCCCAGTGCCGTGGTGGAAGTTTCTCCACGAATGCTTCTCACCTCCCCTGTCTGGTGCTGGGGGGGCCGTCTTCTCCCTGGCCGCACTGGGGCGATGCCCACCCCCTCGCCCCAGTGGGGGTTTCTTGCCCCAGGCTGGGTTTGGCCGAGAAGAAGCAGGGCTCTATCTGAAGGCTTTAATTGGCAACAGTTTTTACATACGAAGTTCATCACTTTTTCTAAGGCATAGGAGTGAAACAAGGAAAGGGACTCCTCTTTCTTCGGTGGAAGCGACGTGATATGCCAGCGAAGGGAGCCACTGTGGGTGCTCACAGTTATCTGTCACTTCATCTTGGTGTGACTCACTGGTGCAGAACTAACGCGGCCAGGCTTTCTGTGGGGGCTGAGGTGCTGGGCAGAGAGGGGGTGACTCAGCCGCCCCCCTGGGCCTCGGCGTCCTCACCTGCGCGGAGGGGCTCCGATGAGACAATCTGCCCGGTCTGCCTCCACGCCTGGGTTTCTGGGCTCCGGTTACTTACGGCCGATTTCCCCAAGCGCTCACGCGGAGACAGGTGTCTGATGCGCTCTCGCCTTCAGGTCACATCACAGTCCCGGTGAGGCAGGGCCGCGGCTTCGAAGGGAGGAGGGAAGCTTCCCTCGCTTGCGTTTCCTCACGCACGCGCTATCAGAGAAATCATGGGGGGCACGCCTCTGTTTTCAGACGGTGATGGAACTTTCCGGGCCCTCCGCGAACCGCAGGCTCCGTCAGGCCACCAGGTGACTGGCAGGACCTCCCAGCGGTTATTTAGTCCAAAGAACAAGTGGCCCTCAAAACGACTTTATTGGGCAAAACTCAGAAGAAACATAACCCCTCCCCTGCGCCACCTCTCTGCGCCCCGGGCCCCCCCGCCCCCCCGTGCGAGGCTGGCCACCTGCTGACCCCGCGGGGAGCCAGGGGTCCTGCCAGGGGCCTCTGATGGGCGCCGCCCCTCAGCTGTCCCGTCAGCCCCGGCTTCAGCAGGTCTGCAACAAGTGTGCTCACCCCAGGCGGCGGCCGCGGGGCCACGGGAGGCGACCGGGCGGCCGGGGTGCTCGCAGGCGCCGGGGCAGCTCCCTCCCCCCCGCACCCGAGCCGGAAGCTGAGGTGCCTCCCGCCTACCCGAGCGTGGGGCTCTGGACCGCAGAGCTGAGGGAATGAAAAGGAGCCTTGGGGAGGCCGCCCGCCTCCCTCCTGCCTTCTTCCTGCCATATTTGGACGGCGTTTTCCTCAGTCGCCCCGCCGGTCGTCGCCATGGAGAGCGCGGGTGTTTATGTAGCAGGACAAACATTTTCTCCGGATTAGGCAGCCTGGCCTCGGGGGAATTGGCTCGACCAGGAAGTAGCGAGCGCGTTACAATGTTCGGGGCTGTAAAACTCCGCGGGCTTCGGAGTCCAGACTGTGAGATGCCCGTCATATAAAGTGTGAAAACCGGCTGGATGAAGCAGGCTGTGAGCAGTCGGGCTGGCGGTGACCCAGGGGGTGGGTGACGGCTGGGGGGGGCAGACCCGGGGGCCTCTGGGGGAGGGGAGCTGGCAGTGTTCTGCCTCCAGAGCTGGGCACGAGGTATGCGGGTGAAGTCAGTTCATGGACACACGTCAAAACCTTACGATTTAGGGCTTTTCTGTATGTATCTTGAACTTTTGTTTCAAAAATGTGACCACCTTAAGTGAGGGGACCACACGTACGCCGACTTATTTCCACCAAGAAATGCACTATTTCAAGTGTGGCGGCGGCGGCCGCAGAGGGTGGAACTGGACCAGGCTGTGCTTTCATGCCGTTTTTTGGTGTGTTTTTTTTGCTGTTTACCATGGAAACTCTGAATGCCTGTGAAAGTAGAGAGGATGGTGTAATGAACCCTGATGAACTCATCAGCCGGCTTGGACCAGCTGGCTCCCGGCCCCTCTCCTTCCACACCCCTATCCCCTCCTTCCCCCCCACCCCCTCCCTTACCCCGTGTTATTGTGAGGCTGTCCCAGACTATGATCTCACTGCGGACTGCGCTTTCTAAATGTTCCTGTGTCCAGTCAGGGCAACCCTTGCTGTTAAAGGGCGGTCACATGACCAGGATCCTTCCCTTGGACATCTGCAAAGGGGGCGGCCAGGGGCACCCCAGCTTTCCCCGCCGCCCCCTTTTTAGCCTGGCCGTCCTCTCCTTTCTGGAGCCCCCGGCGCCCCGGGCTCTGAGCACTTCTCCCCAGGGGCGGACACAGGTGTGGCCCGGGGCTCCCCAGGGCCCTGGCAGTACCGGCACCAGCAGGTGCTCCGTGAACGTTTGTGGGAGGCAGGAGGCAAAGTCCGCTCTGACGAGCGTGCTGGTTTTGCCAAGTCGGCACAGCGAGGCCGGTGCCTCGGAGCCGTTGGTGCTGAGCGATGCATTTTCTGGAACGATGAAGCTTCAGGTGGTTTGGTTGGTTTGTTGCTTCACGCGTCTGTCCTGCTCGCCAGACCCTCTGGGCAAAGATGCGCTCTCCAGCCCAGGTAATCTCGTGACTCCTACCCAGTGACTCCTACTCAGGCAGGCGCCCGGGGGCGGAGGGCGGCAGAGTGAGCGATGCCACCGCCTGGGGCAGGTCTTCACTGCCTGGGCTGGGGGCGCCCGGCTGAGCAGCTTTCCTGGTGGCAGGGAGACGTCTCCTTTAAAAAAAATTATTTCGTACCCCTCTGTTGGCCCGTAGTGATTGGCGGTCCGGGTAAAAGCTAGCCTTTGTCGGACGCAACTGCATTCCAGTCGGTTGGCGCAGGCTGGGTCACTTAGCCAACGAGAGGTGGGTGCTGCTGTCACCCCCGTCACCGGTGAGGGGACGAGGCGCGGCAGGCTTAGGAGCTGGCCCGGCTCACACCCCCGTTGGGAAGAGGTGGAACCCACCGGTGCCCTCGCCACACAGGGCGGCCCCCTTCACCCCTCGGCCTTCAGGACTCACTCAGCAGGGAGGCCCGGCCGCTCATCTGGGGGGGCCTGTGGGATGAGATGGATGCCATCCAGGGCGCTGGGGAAGGAGGAGGGCAGGGGCGGGGATGCCCTCAGCACCCTGGACAGCCCCTTGGCGACTCTACTGAACTGCTTCCCCCTGGTAGATCTTGTTCAGGACTCGGTTTCCCATCTCACTCACGATGGAGCCGGGGCCCTGGCCCTGCCCCTGTGAGGTCCTGGGGATCCAGCTCTCACCTCACATCACCCTCCTGCCCTCTGCCTCGCCCACTCTGCTCCAGACTGGTCCCACTTCCTCACATGCCCCTGCCTCAGGACCTTTGCACTTGCTTCCCCATCACCCCCTGCCTAGAATATTCTCCCCCAGCACCTTCCTGGCCCACTCTCTCACTCTCTTTACTCTTCTAAGCAGGATCCGGGCCAAGTCTTAACAGTAGCATTTCCCTGTCCCAGGACAGCAAGAGTGAGGGGAAGAGGAAGCAGGGAAGCTCGGATGAGCCCCCCCCCCCCCCGCGAGGACACCCGCTGAGACAGAGGAGGCCCAGCTGGTGTTTGAGCCTCCAGGGCCTCGTCAGAAAGGCCGTCCAGAAAAAGAAGGAGGAAGGACAGAAAGGAAAGCTTCACAACTCCATCCAAGGGAGGGACACAGCGGCTGTTTCCCTGCTGACCGGGCCTCTCTCCCACCCCCCACGGCCAGAGCTCTTGTCCCTCAGGCCCAGTTGCCTCGCCAGGCCCCCCGGCAGCAGCTGGCGAGGCAGGGGCCTCCTTTAAGGCCATGCGTGGCCAGCACAGCCCAGCGTTCCCGGTGGCCTCTGGTGTGAGGCCCAGAGGACCCAGGGACCATACCCTCAGTGGTGGCTGTGGGCCTGAGGAGAGCGAGGCCCAGGGGCTGTGACTCAGCGCCACCCATGGGGGCTCAAGTACAAGGTCAGACGTTGCCTGTGCACGCGGCTTCCCTGGCGGCACACCCAGCCTCCCCCCGCAACAAGTGCTTCTTTCTCCGTAGCACTTAGCACTAACCCGCCATATACGCCGTCCCCGTGATCTTTCCCCCACTGGGACGTAAGCTCTGTGAGGACAGGAGACGCCTGTCCCGGTCCCCGACGCGCACCAGCCCAAGGCGCCACGTGCCCTAGGAGCGAGTGAGTCAATGGACAGCAGCGCCTGAGCGCGGTGTGCCACTTTGATGTTGTTATTCGGTGTCCTGTGATGTCCTCCTTTGTGTCCCAGCGTCTTCCTGTACCAGGGTGTCTTGCCCACCTCTTTTTAGCAGGTGCGCAGTGTCCTCTAGCACAGGTGTCCCCGCCTTTAACAACACGTGGGGGGCTCTGGGGTTACAGCAGGGACCAGCTCAGAGCTCAGCACATCAGGGCGGAGCACGGGGGGAGTCCAGCAGCGGCCGCACGGTGGAGGAGAGGAAGCCACTGGGGATGCGGGCCGGGGGGGGGGGGGGGAGTCAGTGCTGTTTGTGCAGGGTGGACACGGGCTGTCTGCAGGATGGGTCTTCTGGGCACCAGGGGGCAGCAAGCGCAAGTCCCTGAGGGAGGAGCGGAGCGTCAGGGCCGTAGACCATCATGCGGAAGGGGGCTGGGCTCCGAGCCGTGGGAGCGGAGGAGCTCACCCACTGCTGCGTGGGCAGGGGAGGCACACGCTCAGATTGAAGTCTAGGCTGGCGCCGGCCAGGGTGCTCGTGGTGGACAAGGTGCCCGAGACGTCCTTTGGTGGTTGTATCCCTCCAACACCACACTCATGGGTCTTTGCGCCCGCATACGGGCATTCCCACGGGCAGAGGGGCTCCTGGCAGTGGGAAGAAGTGCAGATTATAAATGTTGCTGGACATGCGCAGAGTCCCCTCCAGAAAGACCGACTTAGTGACCACAGTGCACAAAAGTCCTCAGCCTCGTGGACGCTGGGCACCTTCAGTCCCACTCACTTCTGGTAGCCTCATCCTTTGCCTTTTCCTCGTGACTGCCGAGGTCGAGCATCCCTCCGTGTTTATAGAACTTGGGCGTTCCTCCTGGTGGGAATAGCCTGTTCTTAGTGTCTGGTCTCTCTCTCCCCCCAAAGTTGGCATCTTTCATTCTGTCAACGAGTCAGCCAGAACTTGCCTGAAATGTTCAAAACAAGCAGTCAAATGGACAAAACAAAGATGAGTAGTAGACTTGTTTTGTTCCTGACTTTGCTCAGGCATTTCAGCTCCTCTGATCCAGGACCCTGCTAGCCCGCCGCTGAGCCCATAATGGGCAGGCGTGCTCGGCGAAGGCCTCCTCCCTTCGACCGCAGCCTCCTCCTCCTCTCTGTGTCTTCTGCCCAGGACTTGCATGACTTTCCATCCTTTGTAGCTAATCTGCTTGTTTCTCCCGTTTGGATGTTTTCCCCCTGAAAACATCATTTATCATTGGGACGTTGCTGGCTTGGACTCTTCTGGTAACTTTGCCGGGCATTCAGGGGGTCCTTCGACCAGCAGCTGCGAACCCGTCTGCAGCCAGCGTGGCTTTCTCGGTGTGTATCTTTCGTTATAATCTCTCTCTTAATGTCGTGGCATCTCTTCCAGAAAGAGATGTTACCACAGGTAGAAACACGGCTCTGATATCATTGCTCCCTCTTTCCACTTTTCAGAGTTCCTCGTGCTCCCCCTCCCCCTCCCCGGGGCCATCTCGTTCATTATTGACTCTGGGCTTGGTCTCTCTGATGTTCTGTTCTCAGGTGGCATTTTCTTCTCATTCTGTGGCTTCAGCTCGTCCTTGATTAATTGTTTCCTTGAACCCACCATTTCTTGGTTTTTATTTGTGATCCGGCGTAGGTGCCATCCTGGATCGGCTGGCCTCCCCCACACCCTGTGGCTTCGGTTCTTCTGCCGGGCTGCCCGTCTTCAGAAGCTGCACGTGGGCTTTTCCCCACTCGTTGCTTCATGAGCAGGGCCGGGTCTAATCGAACCTGCTGTTTCCCGGAGGCCAATGTGGTTGGATTCCCCCCGGGTGCCCGTCTTCGGGAGCAGGCGGGCACAGATCCAGAGCCATGGTGGCCTCGAGCAAGTCACTGACCTGTTTTCTCATCTGTGGACTGGAACTAGGAATGGCATCCTGTGTGCTTTCCGTGGCCTCTGATCACGAGGGTTACGTGAGACACTGTGTGTCCACAGTCACCGCCACCAACCCCGTGTCTGCGCTGGTCCTCTGAGCACACGTTCTGTCCCCAGGGACTCCGCTCAGTCAGGGCGCTGCGGCTGGGCCCTCCCCGCTCAGTGCCCAAGGCTGGCCTTCCAGGCCTGTGCCAGCGGGTGCCCTTGCTTGCTGGCTTCCTGACGCCAAGGTCAGGAGGGGAGGGGAGCCAGGGGTCTATACCCCCAGGTCCTGCCTTGAGAACTGAGAACGCACCGCTCGCTCACCCCCGTGGCTGTCTTCCAGGATGACTGCAGGAGCCTGAGGGCCGGCCTGCCTCTCACTTCAGCCCCTCCACCCTCGGCCCCTAAAGCGCAAGTTAGTTTCTGCACCGTACAGTGGTGAGGACGCGTCCAGATGCAACAGGGTCCACGCATCCGCTACTTCCAGTCCTTCAGTGGCTTCGCGCTGGTCCCTCTGCCCCAGCAGGCCGCGTGCGCACACCCGCTCTGCCCACTTCACAGGGCAGCCCCTGCCTCGCAGCCTCCTCTCTCCTGGGAGGTGTGCCCTGCCCACGGCCTGGACTTGGGGTCCCCTGCAGCTGGGGCTGCCGAGCCTTCTGAGTGCTCCTGCTCCCCAGCGTCACCCGGGTAGATTTGTACAACGCAGGCTCCTAGGCCGCGCCAGCCGTCCGGGGGATCCGTAGTTTCCCCAGAGCTCCCCACACGGTGGGCGGTGGGCACGGACGCCCTTGTGGGCTCCTGACCAGACGTCGGCAGTTGGAGATGCCGGGGAATGCATGGCAGGGGGGTGCTCAGTGAATAAGAACAAAAACACTCGCAATTGACTGACGGCTTCCAGCTTATTTAGCAAAATGTGGAAACAGATCTCAGAGGCAGCCGCGATGACTGCAGTCTTTGAGGCCCGCTGACATTTCTTTCTTTTCCAGCTTCGTTGTGGTGCCAACATGAACAGATACGCGGGGTGCCTGCCCCACGCCCCCACCCAGGAGCTGGTGGAGCCCCAGCCTCACGGAAACCCCCTCCAGGAAGACGTGGACATGAGCAGTGGCTCCAGCGGAAATGAAACCAGCGAAAACCACCCCACGCAGGGCAGCGAGGAGCTGGGGGTGCTGGGCGGGCCGCCCGTCGCCCACCAGGGGTAGGTGGGACCCTGGGCCCACCCAGGCCAGGCCATGTCTGTTTTCCCTGCGTCTCCTCCCGTTTGATTGCTTTTGCGGTCTTTAAATCACAATGACCCAGTTTTTCAACATTAAAAAAAAAATCTCATTAACTCAGAATAACCACAATTTACTCTAACAATGGGACTGTGGGTGTGGAATATCTGACCGCCAGCAGACAGAGGCTAAGCAGGAGCCGCGAGATCTTGGGGGCAAGGGGTCTGGAGACCCGCTAGCAAATGACTTTGGTCCCTCGGTCCTTCTCGTAACTTCGGTTTTCTGGTATCAGAAGGTTTTCTGTTCCCGCTTTCTCTCCCGCTCATACTTTTTCTCAATTGGCTTAATCTGGTCTACTCTCGCGGGATGGGGGGAGGCGAGGGGGGCGTGCAGTCCTCTGAGTCTGGCCTCCTGTCTCACGCTTACAGCCCAGACGCCTTTGGCCTCCTGATGGCGAAGTCCGAACACAGCACAACAGCGAGTGGCTGCAGGTGAGGCCCGTTGGAAGCCCCTTGCTTCTGGGGCTTGGGACACATTGGGATGTGTCCCTGGAGGTTCACCCTGGGGTCACAGGACAGTTTTTCAAGCCTCTGCCAGAGCCCATTGGTCTGCACGGCTTGGCTGTGAGCCAAGGGGCCCTTTCACACACCGGCTACTCAGAGCCCCTGGTGGCACCCCACGTCTGGAGCCCTTCCTACCCATCTTCACAGATGTCTGCACCCTAGACATGTCCACCTGGAACATTCCGTGCCCACTCTAGGTGCTTGTGACACAGATATCCTTTGTTTCCTGTCCGCAGAATTTTTGTATGACGGCTGGGGCAGACCCCAGCCCTTAGGCCCGGGCGTGCGGGCACCTGGCCATCTCCCCCAGAGAGACCTGATTTCTAGTGTTCTTTCTGCTCCCTCTGCTCTTACCAGGAGGTGCCCACCTGTTCCGGCTTCCTGCTGTCTCTGTATCCTTAAGTTTAGACGTCCTTCCTGGAACTTTCCTCCTTCACATTCCCGCCCCAGGAAACTGCTTTGCTGTGCTCTGTAGTGTCCATCGCTCGATGCTTTTCTGTCTGACACAGGTCGGGCAGCCAGTGCTCCAGGTGGGGGCCGGCTCAGCCCGACTGCGGGTCGACCAGCAGGCCGTGCTGGGTAAAGGCGGGCTCCAGCCGTGGGGATGGGGAGCCCCGGGGGAGGGGTTCGTGCCACACTCACTTGGGTCAGAGCAGTGGTCCTCAGCCGGGCCGTCTCGATCCCCCCCCCCGCAGGAGATGTCTGCAGGGTCAGGAGACCTCTCCGGTCGTCACAGGTGGTGGGGCTGCTTCCGGCCTGTGCCGGGTGAGCCCAGGGATCCTGCGGCGCATCCCACAGTGCGCCAGAGACCCGCGTGGACCAGACCGTCCTAGGGGCCTGGTGCAGACACGCGGCTAGAGGCCCGGGAAGGAGGAGCCAGGGAAGCGAACGTGTGATCGCCTTTTTCTTTAATCCCACAGCAGCGAGCAGTCTGCAAAAGCGGACACGCACAAGGAGCTGATAAAAACACTGAAGGAGCTGAAGGTCCACCTCCCTGGAGACAAGAAGGCCAAAGGGAAGGCCAGCACGCTGGCGACCTTGAAGTATGCACTGAGGAGTGTGAAGCAGGTGAAAGGTATGTCCGGCCATGCGTGGGATCCAGGCCTGTAGAGATTGGCGGGATTGGGGTCCACTTTCTAAAACCCAGTCCTGAGACTGGAAGGAAGTTGTAGGAGTCTGGTGAAGCGCGATGATGGGAAACCTTAACTCTTCAGCAGTGTTCTACTGTACTTGGCTTTTAGAGAGAGAAAAACAACAGGTAGAAAAGCAGCCGATGAAAGAAGCGTATTTGCGGCATTATGCTCTGTGCTCTGGGCTGGGGTCAGAGAGCACAGGGTCCTCCAGGCTCGGGCCAGAGCTGCTGGCCCCGCTGCGTGAGCAGCTCGCAGCGGGAATGTGAGTTGAGCTGAGGGCTGGTCGCTCCTTTGAAAACTGACAAGAAGAAATGCTCCTCTTCTCAGTGGGTTAAGCATCTGACTCTTGATCGCGGCTCAGGTCATGATCTCATGATTCGTGAGATGGAGCCCCACGTCTGGCTCTGTGCTGACAGTGCGGAGCCGGCTTCAGATTCTCTCTGTCCCTCCGCTGTGCATTCTCTCTCTCTCTCCCCGCCACCTCTCAAAAATAAATAAATAAAAATAACAAAGAAGAGACACAGGGAGGCTTTTGCCAGATCTCATTCTCACAGGACAGTATTTTAGGGCTCCTGATTGAGACCTTGAGCAGTTTTTTTTTTTAATGTTTCATTTATTTCTAGGAGAGAGAGAGACAGCGTGAGCAGGGGAGGGTCAGAGAGAGAGGGAGTCACAGACTCTGAAACAGGCTCCAGCTGGCAGTCAGCACAGAGCCCGACGCGGGGCTCGAACCCACGAACCACGAGATCATGACCTGAGCGAAAGTCGGACGCTTAACCGACTAAGCCACCCAGGTGCCCCTTGAGCAGTTGGTTTCTTGATGTAAAAGTGCATGTGTCTCACCCAGGAAGCCAGGCACCGCGCCTCCTCCCGTCACAGGCTCCGCCCACATGCTGCTCCGCTCTCAGCTGGAGCGGATTATGTAAGGGCCCTGGGGCTGGTCCGTGGCCTAGACCAAGGCTTCCACCTGAGGACACCTGAGCCGCATCCTCACAGATGCAGTGCGGGCTCTGTGAACAATACTGCAGTCTCCAAAATCTGCACCATCCGGCTCAGACGCTTGACATTTCCGTAAACTCTAAGCCCCTTACGTAACTGCCGACAGAGCTGAGTCTGCCTTCACTGGGGCTGCGGCTGGATTCCCGTGAGCAGGTGCCTGCCCCCCCCCCCGCCCCCCCCCCGGGACTCAGGTGACCGCAGGTGCCTCTGTCTCCCAGACAAGTAAGGGGCACAGCGCCCTAAGGACACGCACACGCGCCAGCTCTTCTCGTGAAGCAGGAGCTCGGCTGCTGGGGGAGCCCTTCTGCAGACGCCCGTCCCCAGGGGTCGGGCCGTGAGCCCTCTGTTCGGGGTCATGTCAGGAAGCTTCAGCTGCAGACAGTCAGAAAGGTCTGGGCAGCCTCACCTTTTGGTCTGTTGCTGGCCGTGGGGATGCGAGCTTGGAGAGTTGTTTAACATTCCCCGCAGAGCTTGCGAGAACACAGCAGAAAGCTTGGAGGACACCAGGGGAACCCTTTCCGTTATACCAGAAACGCCCCTAACTCCTGCACTTTGAGGAATCTCTTAGCTGGTTTGGTCCCTTATGAGCAGCAAGCAGAGACGGAAGACAAGCCAGCATCTCGTAGGGCAGACGAGGGGGTGCCTGTCCCTCTACCAGGGAGCCCCGGCCCCGCTCTACCTACTTGACCCTCGTGTGCACAACCCGCACACACAAGCCCCAGGGGACTCTGTACACCAGAAACAAGCGTAAGAATAGAAAAGCCTGGGGGGCTGAGATCAAGACCAGACAATGGCTTTATTCTGTTACCCTCAGTGACTCCCTCCAGGCACGGCTCGCATTCAGGGCAAGGTTTGTCACTTGTGATGGATACGAAGCCACGGCCCAAGTAGTCTCCATGTTTCCTGACATTTGAACAGCTTTTGTCAGGAGGGCGCCGCCGCTCATCCCGCGCAGCCTGGCGGGAAGAGCTGTGCCGGGCGTGGGGAGCCAGGCTCTGCGCTGTGCGGCGTGCGGTGTGCGGCGTGCGGTGTGCGGCGTGCGCTGGCTTCCGGGGTGCCCTCGTCAGCCCCGGTTTCCCGGCAGGCTCCTGTCTAAACCCGTGTCTGTTCTGTGAGGGTTAGTATAGTAAAAACAGACCCCATTCCCGGCCAGCCCACCCAAGGGTGCTCACAGACTGCACTGAAGGGCGGGTCTGCCAGCACCCCTGCCCGGGGGCTGACCCCCTCCGGAGGCTGGGGCAGCACCATGATAGTCTGCTCTTGAAAGATGTATGTCCTGGATGAGTGGGTCTGTCTGGATGGCAGCACCAGGGCCAGCGGGGACCACGTACTGGGGCCACGGCCATCCTCCGGGGGGAGGCCCTTGTGCTCTGATTAAAGACCTTGTGGGCAAACTGAGGATTAGGTGCAACTCTACACCCATCTTATTTAGAATAATGTGTACTTACTACCTTGTTTTTATTTTATTTTTTGTTACTTATCTTTTGAGAGACAGAGAGAGACAGAACATGAGCAGGGGAGGGGCAGAGAGAGGGAGACACAGAATCTGAAGCAGCTCCAGGCTCTGAGCTGTCAGCACAGAGCCCGACGTAGGGCTCAAACCCACAAGTCGTGAGATCATGACCTGAGCTGAAGTCGGACGCTTAACCGACTGAGCCCCCCAGGCGCCCCGTGTGCTTACCATGTTAGAAGCTCTATAATCACAGGTCTTCAGAGTTTTCTGGAAAAATAAAACAGATTTCTGTTTGCTTTGCCTTCACATTTCTCTGTTCTCTTCTCCCGGCGTCTGAGGAAGCTAGCGCACATAGCCCACTTTTCCGTGAGGAAAGCAGAGCCCCGACGCGGGGAGGTAGGGGAGGTCGGAGCGGTTTTCAGGGCCCCCTGTGTCTCCCGCAGCCAGTGAGGAGTACTACCAGCTGCTCATGTCCACCGAGAACCAGCCCTGCGGCGCCGGCGTGCCCTCCTACACCGTGGAGGCCATCGAGGGGGTCACTTCCGAGTTCATCGTGAAGAACGCAGTAAGTGTCCCCACGAGCAGAGCCTTCCCCCCGCAGGCCGAGCCCTTCCTCCGGGTGAGCTGGCTACACCGCCTGCTGCAGAGTTCAGGATATCAGGAAATAAGTTCTTGCCTTAAATGAGAACGAGGTAGAGTCAGTGATTCAGAAGCCGCAGTTGTGTTGCAGACGCCCAAGGCTTTCTGAGACTGTCCTTCCCTCCCGGTGACCCCACCCCGTTCCTGGCCTGTGTAAGAGCAAGCCCTACCGTGACCGAGCAGTCACCCGGTGACCTTAGGCTCATGTTGGGGGGTGGCACCTGGGATTTGAGCTCAGCTCGCCAGACTCCAACGCTCATGTGTTTTTAAGCAGCCGTTAGGGTGGGGGCAGCCTTGGTCGTCTGGGGGAAGATGAGTCAAGTTTCCCTTCCCTGCGCCCCTACTTTGCAGAGAGCAGACCAAGGGCAGGTGGGGACGCAGACACACTGGGATCCTGGCGGAACTGGCCTGGAGAGCGGGGCTCCCCGGTCCCTCCCACGTCCTTCCTCCAGTGTCCCCACCGCGGCTGAAGCCCCTGGGAGCTCCGGGCCAGGGCTCGGGCCGCTAGCCAGTAGGGCTGGGGGGAGCCCCGCTCCCGGGGAGAGAGACGGGCTGGAGGGGAGGAGGCGGCCCAGAGGCCTCCCCTGCCCCCAGCCTGTGGCCCTTGCGGGGGTGGGGGGGCAGGCAGCCCGTCCAGGCCCCGAGTGCCGTCCCCACTGAGCCGCCTCTCCCTTCCAGGGCATGTTTGCCGCAGTGGTGTCGCTGGTCACCGGGAAGGTCCTGTACATCTCTGACCAAGTTGCCTCCATCTTTCACTGTAAAAGGGACGTCTTCCACGGCGCCAGGTTCGTGGAGTTCCTGGCGCCCCACGACGTCAGCGTCTTCCACGCGGCCACCACGCCTTACAAGCTCCCGCCCTGGAGCGTCTGCAGCGGGGCAGGTGAGGGCCCGGGGCGCTGGACGCCCCCTCTCGCGTGCCCGCAGGGCATGGGGGCTCCGGGGGCCCAGGCTGGCCCTCCCCCGGGACAGGGCACGTGCCCCACCTCTCCTCTGCCAGAAACTGGCGCTCGGTGCCCCTGCGCGACAGCTGTCTGAGGCCAAAGACAGAAAGCTGCTTGTTCAGGCTAAACATAGGAAAGGAGTCTTCATGAACTTCAGAGAGGGAAGACCTTTCGAGAAGACTTTAAGAAACATTAGGCGTGTTAGAAACGAAGTTGTTCTGAGAAGCTGGCATGTTGGGTGGACCCGCGGGGCGCAGAGGCCAGGGCCTGCTTCCTGCGGGACCGCAGGGCCGGGCCAGGCGGCGATGCCGCAGTGGCGGGGCGAGCGCTCCTCGCCGTGGCCTGGGCGGCCTTGCGCCAGGGACCGGGCTCAGACCCGAGCTCTGCAGGCCGGTCAGGCTCCAGTCTGCACAGCGGCCAGACGAGTTTTGGCAGAAATGTGGCACGGGGTCCTGGCAGAAGGCAGCAGACAGGGGAGGGCCCCAGCCAGCTCAGGCCTTCCCCGAAGCCCCCCCACGCCGTCAGTGACCAGGCCGCCAGCAGAAGCCTCCCTTTTGCTGTGTAAGCCCCGCAGCATCTGTCTGCCCGTCCGCCATGGGGCTCTGGTCTCCTGGAGCTGAACTTGAACTGAAGCGCAGGGACACTAAGGAACCGGGAGGGAGGGACAGGGGAACAGTGGGGCTCGGCGGGACAGGGGTTCATCCCAGAGAAGCGTGGCCTCAGTCGTGGCCGTGGCTGGAGGCGGCCTGGGCCCCACATCGCCCAGAACTGGCACCTGCTTCGCCCTTGACTCAGGTCCGCATCTCTGCTCCTCAGCCCCACTCGCACCGCCTCCTGGGTCGTGGGCCCCCGTCCCCACCTGCTCCCCTCCTCCTCCTGCTCCCAGTCTGCAGGCCGGCGGCCACCTGGCCACCACCCCCGCGCCGCACCTTCCCGACAGCGGACGAGCCGGGACTGTGCTGTAGGGCCGACTCCCCAAAGGAGGCGCTCAGTTTTGGTTTCAGATGTAGAGCCGCCTGCCTTCTCCCAGAAATCCCAATGCGGACTGTCTGGTCATGTCACTAAAGCTCATGGGGTGTGTCACGAGGACCCGTAGGTCCCTGCGTGGAAGCGACATCACTCCGCACGAGGGTATACGGCGTGAGCAGACCGGCACTGTCCCCCTGGGGTGGCTGCCACTGAGCTTTTGTCTGAATAAAAAAGGACCAGGTGACTTCTCTGACGCCCTTCCAGGCGGTAATTCTGCACGATGTTCCCTCATTAGGGGTTTCCTGCTTTTCCTTTTTCTTCTGAGTAGAGGAAACTTGATGTGAAAGATGAACGTCTGAGATTTTAAAAAATGCCTTTATTGCAGCAACACCATTCACTTGTCTCTGGTGATGCCGGTGTTGCTCAGTGGCTCAGATTCTGCAGAAGGTTCATATTTTAGTGAAAGGGTTGACATGAGCTCTGGAATGGCCGCCTGTTAGAACTGAATACGACCGAAACACGTCGGTAGAAGTGCTTAGAGCTCTACACACACACGTTCCACACATCAGTCAGTGTTTTCCCAGGTTAAGTGGTTTATCAGTTGGTGCGTCTGTGGCAGCTTCTGAACCGTTCCACCAACAGTAGCCTTCTGACGACAGACTCGTAGCCTTTGAAGTGCTCCTGAGCCCATTTCAGCCAGACGGTCTCCGAGGGCTCCAATTGGGACCCGTGTAAATGGGCATTCGCACCTGGCTCCGGGTTCCCCCTCTTCCCTGTGGCATGTTGGTGCGACTGGATGAGTGACTCAGGGTTCTCTCTCTCTCTCTCTCTCTCTCTCTCTTTTAGATTCATTTGCTCAAGAATGCATGGAGGAGAAATCTTTCTTCTGCCGAGTCAGGTAAGCCCCGTGCCTGGCTTCCCCAGGCTGGGCGCAAACATTCCCCGGAGCCCCGCTTGTGGGGCTGAGGAGGTGTGGGAGGGGCCCCCACCATCTCCTGCTGTGCCGTGGCCCTCTGCGCCCCGTGCCCCTCTGCGCCCCGGCTCCTCAGGGTAGAGGCCCTGCAAAGGCACCCTGCCATAGAGCATGCATGTTCCTGAAAAGTCTGTGTGCAAACTGCCTTTCAGATGTCCACAGGGAGGGGCACCTGGGGGTTCAGTCGGTGAAGTGTCTGACTTCAGCTCAGGTCATGATCTCACTGTTTGTGGGTTCAAGCCCCACGTCCGGTTCTGTGCTGACAGCTCAGAGCCTGGAGCCGCTTCAGATTCTGTGTCTCCCTCGCTCTCTGCCCCTCCCCTGCCTGCGCTCCGTCTCTCTCAATAATAAGTAAATATCTTTAAAAAATTTTTTAATAAAAAAATGTGCACGGGGAGTTAAGACAGCATGGCCAGCGGTAGGGTGATTCGTTCCTCGTGCAGAACGTCAGCTGGAGCCAGGACTTGGTGCCCATCACCTGGGACAGCAGCCCAAGGCCCTTAACTGGGAAGGCCCGTACCCCAGGGCCCGAGAGGACCCCGAAAGCACATGTAGCCTGTAGCTCAAGTGTGTGTTTTCCAGGGAGAGCCCCATAGCTTCCCCAACAGGCTTTTGGCCCAAAACAGGGGACCGGGTATGCGTGTGGCCGCAGCACCAGGAGGGGCCCCTGGCCGGGCACTGATGCTCTGGGCAGCCGGGGCTGGGGCCTCAGTATTGACGCAATGCCTTCTCCCCCAAGAAAAACATGAACTGCTCTGGAGAAGGTGTCCCACTGCCCAGGGCTGTCCGGTCTTCGCGGTGCCCTCTCATGTCATGGCAACGCGAGGGAGTGGGGCAGAGGCGCAGACCCCAGACCCCGGGCAGCACAGCCAGCGTGGCCTGGGCGCCCAAGAGGGGAGCCTGCCTCTGCTTCCCAGGCTTCGGTACAATAAATACGGGGTGCCCTCACCACAGCCGCCGTGGGGGCAGAGGTGACCGGCCGGGAGCAGTGCGGGGCGATCCCTTCTGCCCTGACCGCCCCCCTCTCACCCTGCTGTCCCGCACAGTGTCGGGAAGAGCCACGAGAGCGAGATCCGCTACCAGCCCTTCCGCATGACGCCTTACCTGGTCAAGGTGCGGGACGGGCAGGGCGCCGAGGGTCAGCTGTGCTGCGTGCTCCTGGCAGAGAGAGTGCACTCGGGCTACGAAGGTAACAGCCCGGCCCAGGCGGGGGCCCAGGCTGCGCGCGGTGCCTCAGTTACTCCGTGGGTCACACCCAGCGTCAGGAAGGCTGACTGCTGGCCCTGGCCTCCCCCCGGCCCCCAGCCAGGGGCAGAGTCTCTGTCCCCCTCTGGACGCAACCCACCTTTGTCCCCTGGGGCTCCCTGTGTCTGTCAGAGGGTCTGGAGGCTGGCATCTCGTGCCTGTGACCAGGCTGTTGCTGTGACCGGAGCGCCCTTTCCCCTTCCCCCGCCTCTGCCTTCCACCCATGTAGTGCGGGTGGCCCTGACAGGTCCCCAAGTCAGGGACCACGCTGCCTGCTCAGAACCCCACGCCACCCCCCCACCTGAGAAATAAAGCGCTGGCTCAACCCCCTCCTACGGCACTTCCCAGCCTCCTGATGTGCGCCGACTTCTGCGGGCAGGCTGGCCCCGACCCCCCTCCTCACTCCGGCTCCTCCCGCCCCCCCTCTGCCTGTAGAAAGCCCCCCACAGCAGGCTCGTCCCACTGGCTGTCCGTTCCTGGTCCTGCTGGCTTAGACCACCTTCTCCCCCCACAACCCCCAAATCTGGGTTTTCCCCTGAAGCCCAAAGGCCCCCAAGCACTTTGCTGCCCTGATTCTATCCTCCTGTGACTCCCGCGTACTGAACAGCCCTCGTGACATGGTCGTCCTTCGGTATCGGCTGTGCGACCTGGTGGGGACCCAGGGTCCTCGCCCTGGCAGCCCCGCAAGCTCCGAGACCGGAATTCCCAGAAAGCAGCCGCCACATGTAACTGCTGAACCATGGGGATCCGGTTTAGTTCACGTTTCCTTGTGCTTATGAACTTTCCTCCGTGGTTAATGATGTCGGCTTTTAAAAAGGTGTTTCTTAAGACTGATAGAAGCATTTTAGGTGTGTGGCTTTCTCTCAGATGTTTGAGGGGTTTCTCCATATAGCATAGTGTCTTCCAAACAGTCAAGAAAGATTTTGGGGGATTACTTGGATTTCAACGAGTTATTCCCCAACATGATTCTCCTTCACGAATGAAAAGCTTTGGATGTTTGAATGCTCTGTCCATGAATTTGGTAACTGAGGAAAATTCTGGGTATGTGATTTCCTTTATGTAAGTCACGCTGTCACCATTGCCTGCCCCAGAATCTGTAAAGTCCCCATCATGGTGACATTTGCTGAGAATTTTAAATCTAAACACTTAACCCATTTTTGAAAACAATTTGCTCAGCTCACTCTTGTTGGATCTGGAAGATCACGAATGTGGCCTTCTGGCATGATTTTGCCGAGAGAAGCCTACGCGTCAGCACGTGGTCCTGTTAACATGGCGGCGCCTAACTTTCTAGACTCAGCCTGTCCACAGAGAAGCAGAGGAGGCTGGCTGGCCGTCACCTCACACAGGGTCTGCTCTGTCCCCCGTGCGACAGGCCGTTGACCAGGGTCCACTCCCTAATCTTTCCCTTTGCCACACGTCCTATGAATCTACACGGCGTTTTCCGTTAGCTGTAATACAACTGCAGCAAGTGTGTGTTCGAATCAGAAACTTGTGTAAAATTCTCTTCTTTCAGCCCCTCGCATTCCTCCTGAAAAGAGAATTTTTACGACCACGCACACACCGAATTGCTTGTTCCAGGATGTGGATGAAAGGTAAGCAGGGTGGTGCTGTGCCCTGTGCATGTCTTGGAGTCAGCATCGTGCCCTTCGGGTCAGCAGACTCAATCACGTGGTATTTAGTGGTTCATTGTTATCTCGGTGGTTACTTATTAGCAGCTAAATAAAGCTCAATCAAGTTTCAGGTTCTGACGTGAAAGCTCTGTAGCCTACATGTTGGTGTGACGAAAGTGGTAACCTCCAAAACTGTTGAGCTGCAGGCAGTGGAGTGATGGCAGACTTGCCCCGAAAGCCCCCTGAGGTGTGGACGTTGTGTCTGTAGAATGTTCTGGAGAGCCGATAAGTGTTCTGCCTGAGTCTAGCTTTGTTATCCTGTTTATGCTCATTTCACGATCGCACGCAAGTGTGGCCTGGAGCGGCCAGGGGTGGCGTGCTCGGGTCAGGACTGGAGCAGGGAGGCCGTTGTGGGATCCCGGCAGAAACGTGTCCCCCCGCGTGTGTGCCAGAGTCCTCCCCGCGGGGGAGGGGGAGGTCACCTCCGTGCTTGCCCGGAGCGCCACTCCGTCTCCCACTCAAGGTGCCGTGGCTGGTACAGAGGGTGCCATTGGAGGCGGGGACCCTGGCCTTCCGAGCGGGTTCTGGGTTGGCTGGCCTGGGGCCGGAGCCCCCCCACCCCGGCTCCGCCTGCACGAGACAGAAGGGGCTGCCGGCTGCTGGCTGTGACGGGGAAGGGCCTCCCTGGGAAGACCCACGGGAAGTGGACCTGGAAGTACCACGACTGGGCTTTCTCACCTGGGCCGGGTGACCTCACAGATGCCGTCGAGGATCGCGTCTGCCCCACTGCCTGCACCTGCCTGGAGACACCAGGCACCCACCCTGGACACGGAGCGTCTCGGGAAGGAGCTGCTCCCCGGCAGCCCGGGAACCGTGGGCTCCGGGCACTCAGGGCGGCCCTGCTGGCGCCTGTGGTGGCTCACCAGAGACACAAGGTGTCGCGTGCGGGTTCCTGGGCCCCGCCTAGCCCCGTCCCATGGGGTCCCGGAGAGTGGGCCCTGCAGGGTAACTTCCGTCCTGCAGAGCCTGAGAACCCTGCTGGCAAAGCAGCCCCGGGGCCACTCGCGTGTCACAAGCAGGTGCGCAGTCCGCAGGGCCTTCCTCCGCAAAGCCGTGCAGGCGGCCGGCCCGCAGCGCAGGACAGCTGGGCCAGGGGCCAGGGCTCCTCCCCACCCTCTCCCTCCCTCCTCCCCCTTCTCCCCTTCTTCCTTCTCCCTCTTCCTCCTCCGCCTCCTCCCCTTCCTCCTCCTCCTCCCCTCCCCTGGCCAAGCCTGGACCTGGAAGGGCGCCAGGAACATTCTGTACGTCTGTCAAATGAACACACAGAGCCTGGAGAGTGTGCGTCGGACCAGGAGGAGAAGATCTAATCCTAATGCTGGGCCCACGGGAAAAGCTCCATTCAACTGGGAACGGACCAGCTTCGCTCTAAAGGCTAAGAATGCCCTTCCGCCAGAGGGTGCCTGCTTGGAAGCGGTTGAGGACACAGCAGTCCGGATGCAAGAACTTCCGGGGTGGGGAGGCTGAGCTGTGGCTCGGAAGGGGGAACAGTGGCAGAGCGTGCCGGACACCAAGGCAGGAGGGGCACCGAGACGGTCACCCCAAAATATTGTTGCAAAAGTAGGGTGACCGCTGCAGAGGAAACCCGACGGCACCGCGCACAGGCCCCCAGCCCGTGCGGCAGCTTCTCAGGACCGGACAGTCAGCGGCCAAAGTCATAGCAGCAAAATATCTTGAGCTGGAAAAGAGCCACACGGGGGTTTCCAGAGTCCAGGCAAAACTTATTTAAAAGAAGCCATGCCCAGCCCCCTCTGGCCAAACTGGCAAAGGACAGGAAGAAAGAAAAGGTCTTAAAAGACAAAAAGCAAGAACGTGATCTCATGATTTACTCTTTCAAGAGCCAGGAGCTAGTTTCTGATCACAGGCGTGTGGGATGCTGACATCTGTTGTTTGCTAACTAACCGAACGACTGTTCTCTGTTAGCCTAATTCCCTGACTTTGCTCTCCTGGGAGTTTGGAGCCTGTCCCTTCCCCCCTCTCCCTCCCAAGGAAGATGGTTCTTGGAGACGACCCACCGCCCCGCTTGGAGGCTGTGCTCTGGACCGCGTCCAGCACAGGCTGCACAGGGACCCCGTGTGTGTGCTTGCTTTGCAGGGCAGTCCCCCTCCTGGGCTACCTACCTCAGGACCTGATCGAGACCCCCATGCTCGTGCAGCTTCACCCCAGTGACAGGCCTTTGATGCTCACCATCCACAGAAAGAGTAGGTCCCCCTTTCCACAGTAAATCCTGCGATCAGCCCCCAGCTTAAACGGGTCAGACAGGCTCGCAGTGCATGTGACGGAGGCCCGAGCCTGAGCCCTGTTGGTCAGGAACACGCGTTGTCGTGAGCCCGCGGCCGGGATCGTGAACATCCTGCCGTTACTGTTGGCTCCCCGGCAGGTGGGGGGGGGGTGCAGGTTCAGCTATGGTGACACAGGTGCTGACCAGGCCGGGGGAGTGGATGACAGGTGTCCCCACCAAGCCCAGGGCTCGCAGACACAGGTGGCACGGAGCGTGCCCCCAGAGACCCGTCAAGGCTGGAGAAGTGTGTGCCGGAATGCATGGTGGCGCTTCTGGAGACAGCCCGCTGTCGCCATTCAAAGCAGAGCGGGGCATCGAGAGCCATAGTGCTGGGGAGGTGGGCATCTCGTTTCGAGGTGATTCCGGAGTGGAGAGCCTCTCACCCCCTTCCCGAGAGCACCAGCCTCGGGTCTCACGCCCACGCCCTCCCCCCACAGTCATGCAGTCGGGCGGACAGCCCTTCGACTCTTCTCCCATCCGGTTCCGTGCCCGGAACGGCGAGTACGTGACTCTGGACACCAGCTGGTCCAGCTTCATCAACCCCTGGAGCAGAAAGATCTCCTTCATCATTGGGAGACACAGAGTCAGGGTGTGAGTGCTTTCAGGGCGCCGCGCAGCTCAGGAACCCTGCCTCCCCCCGAGCAGGCTGCGTGCCGCGGGGCGAGGTGACTGGGACCCAGGTCACCTGCCATGTGCCTGTGCCCCCAGCGGGGAGGGACCTCATACAGGCAGCGCCGCGAGCGGAGGGCACGTGGCAGCCCAGGGGCCTGCAGGGGGGAGGTAAGCCTGGCAGGGGTGGGGCCCAACTCAGACACACCCACCTGCACAGGGGCCCTCTGAACGAGGACGTGTTCTCGGCTCCGTCGTGCATAGAGGAGAAGGGCCTGCACCCCGGGGTGCAGGAGCTCACGGAGCAGATCCACCGGCTGCTGCTACAGGTGGGTGCATCGTCTGCGCGCCGCCTGTCCCCCTGTGTAAGTGGCCCAGGGCTGCCCGGAGACCCGGGGTGGCCGTCCCTCCCTCTCAGGCTCCTCCCTCTTCCGATGGTCTGAGCCCCAGACAGTAGGGCACAGCTGCGGCTTGCACTGTTGGGGGCGGCCACGCACATCTGGGGCGGCTGTGTCTGAACAGCAGCCGTGGGCAAGCCCCGGAAGGATGCACCCAGCCCCCGAGCCCACCCCCAGGCCCTGACACCAGCCCACACGTGGTCCCCCACGGTGCACTGGGTGAGAGCGGTCACCTGCTGGGCCCTGGGGGACCGGAGAATGCCTCCTCTGTGTTCCTGGGGACTGAGTGTTTCAGGCCCCCCAGCCAGCCAGCTTCCTGCCTCTCCGTCTCCTTAGACCACAGCGAAGCCACAGGGCACCCTTCTTGTTCCTAAAATCCCTGGATAGAAACAGCCTGGCCCGCGCCCGGGGGCTGAGGGAGAGGGTGGGATGACTCCTCTCTTAGGGAGTGTGTGTGACTGGGGTAGGGGACGCACTCTGCACTGCCCCAGGGTTCCGGCCCAGCCCCCGCCTTGTCCTCGCCCCGTGCCGTGGGCAGGTCACAGCCTCTCTATGAGATGGGCATGCTGGGGGGCCAGGGGGCCTCGGAGCCGCAGTGCCCGCCACGCCCCCCAGCCGCATCCGAGGCCTCGCCGGCTGTCTCCCCAGCCCGTCCCCCACAGTGGCTCCAGCGGCTACGGGAGCCTGGGCAGCAACGGGTCCCATGAGCCCCTCATGAGCCAGACGTCCTCCAGCGACAGCAACGGCCACGAGGACTCGCGCCGGAGGAGGACGGTGAGTCCCTGGGCGGCGCGCCCCTCCCTCCCCGGGGAGACCGCCTGCGGCAGCCATCGCGTCTGTGCCCAGTCCCCTGAGCCTGCTCACTTGGGACTTGGGACTCACTCTCTGGCCTCTAAAGGGGGGGGGGTTGTCGGGGGGGCAGCCAAGAGACATGGCTGAAGTCTGGGTGGAAATCACTTAAAGCGGGCGAGGCAAGTGGCAGTGAAGACGTAACAAAACCGTGACCTGCCGCATCCCTTTATTTGCATTCTCAGCCTCGCTCCCGTTTCTCGTTCAGGACTCGCTTCTGCGTTGCTAGAAGTTTCCACCTCTTCTCTGTCCTCCCCGTGGGGGACAGGCTGAAATGCTAGAGGGTCTCCTCGAGGGGGTGACGCGTTTTGTTTTTCCTCAAGGAAATCTGTAAAAATGCTCCCGGCGTCAGGAACAAGAGTCCTTACCCTGGGGAGCCTGGAGAACCAGAGGAAACACGTGCTGCAGGTAGACCGCTGCCCTCCACGCCTTCGATAAACCTCTGCACGCGCGCACGTGCTGCCTGGGGGGACGAGGCCAGCTGTGCTCCAAGGCCGCCCTCCCTTGGGGCGCCAGCGGCACAGGCACCTGTCAGGCGCGTCCCCTCGCCGCCGCACGGGCTGTGACTCTGTGCCCTCCTGCCTGGGCTCAGCTGTTCCTCTGTGAGACGCACATGCGCACACGCATGCACCGCAGCCTCCCCCGCTCGTGGGTTCTTGCTCTTCCCTTGCCCTTAGGGCTCACCTCCTCCAGGAAGCCTCCAGTGGGCTGTCCCACACCTGTTCTTCACCAGGATTTTTGGCCTTCAGGACGTGTAGGGGTGCACTTGGCCCCCAGCGGACGGGCTGCGTGCTACAGTCTGTGCTGGGTGTTGGGGACACACCAGTGGGCAGGGCACGGCTCTGCCCTGGAGAGCCCCTCGGGGATAGCATTTGGTGCGTGTGGTGAGGGCAAGAAGCGTCCACAGTGAGTCGCGCTGGGGACCATTGTGACTTGTGACCGCTTCCCAGAGACAGGAGACACTGAGTACCTGAAAAGCACCTGCAATCTAATTGGCCCTGGCAGCTTTAGGAGTTTAAATAAGAACCAGCCTTTCCCACTGCTGAGTCCCCGGCCCTGGGGACTGCCCGGGCCAAGGGCCACCAAGCCCCAGAGAGAAGCAGGCCTTGGCCCGGATGACAGCTCCCTCCAGGGTCCCTCTATGGGTGGCCGTGACCCTCACCTCCTGCAGAGCTGTCACTGCATTTCTGTGTCTGTGACTCCTGTTCTGAGCCCTGAGCCTTATTGTTAATAGAATTAAGACCCTTTATGAACATTGAGGATACTGTTTGGGGGAAACGGCTATTCACTAAACTATCTGGTCCCTCTTTCAGAGATGCAGAGTACTTCCTGTGCTCAGATGAAAGCTGTCCCCATGGAAAAGGACAGTTCAGGCACCAGCCTGCCCGCGGGTGGCTTTCCCGAAGAGCCAGGCGGCAAGAGCCCGCCCGCCGGCTCCTACCAGCAGATCAGCTGCCTGGACGGCGTCATCAGGTGCAGGCACTTCCGGCCCTCCCCTCTGCGGCTCGCATGCTCTGGGAGCTCCCGTGTCACACAAAGCCCTTCCCGGCCCCCCTCGCAGGTATCTGGAGGGATGCAGTGAGGCTGCCACCCTCAAGAGGAAGTGTGAGTTCCCGGCCAACGTGGCGATGCAGAAGACCAGTGATAAGCGGAAGGCAGTGGCCGGCCCGGGGCCACATTGCGCAGGTGTCTTGTCCGTTTGAGCCGGAGGGGGCGGGGTAGCAGTGATAACTTGGGTCCTCCGCTGTGGCTTCAGGTGTCCCGGAAGGCCTGAGCTCCCTTCCCTCCCATAGCAAGTCTGAGGGCCTCCAGGACGCAGCCTGTGGGTGGAGGCTATTTTTTCAGTGACCAAAGTAGCTCCAAAGTTGACAACCTTCTTATAAGGCAGACGTGAAGGTGACTTGGGGACTTCGAGACGAGAGTCCTGTGAGGGCTGCTGGATCTGGAGGCCTGGGGGCACTGCACACGGTCATTCTTGGGCAACATGGTGTCCGTGCGGAGCCCTGGCCTCTGAATCTTGGTGCCCCCACAAGTCAGCTCAAATCCCAGGCCCCTCAGCCCTTGTGAGTGTTGCTGGTGGCCATGACGAGGACCAGAAACCGTGTCCGCTGCTGACAGAGCACGAGCTGGGCCGTCACGCCACGAGGGAGAGAGCTCAGCAGGGGCCGGGCCTCTGGCTGCCTCTTTCCACAGGCCCCGCAGAAGGGGTCCGGGCAGAGACCCCTGACTCAGACCAGTGGCCTTGTGGGTGTTGGTGAGCCACGTAGACGTGGTGTTTCTTATCCGAACCACTTACTTTCATTGTGTTTTTGTGTTTCTGTCCGTTGTGTCTTATAAAGAGACGGCATCGCCCTCCAAGGTGAACAGCCACGCAGAGGTCAGTGCACACTTGACCTCGCTGACCCTGCCTGGCAAGGCGGAGAGCGTGGTGTCCCTCACCAGCCAGTGCAGCTACAGCAGCACCATCGTCCACGTGGGTGACAAGAAGCCACAGCCGGAGCTAGGTATGCATGTCGGTTCTCTGACAATGTCAAGGGCGATCCGACTTTAACAGTAAAAATTAGAAGTTTTAAAAAAATGTTTATTCAGGGGCGCCTGGGTGGCTTAGTCGGTTAAGCATCCGACTTTCGCTTAGGTCATGATCTCGCGGTTCGTGGGTTTGAGCCCCGCGTCGGGCTCTGTGCTGACTGCCAGCTCAGAGCCTGGAGCCTGTTTCAGTCTGTGACTCCCTCTCTCTCTGACCCTCCCCTCTTCACGCTGTCTCTCTCTCTTTCCTAGAAAAAAAAAAAAAAATGTTTATTCTGAGAAAGAGGTGAGCCAGGGAGGGGCAGAGAGAGAGACAGAGAGAGAACCCCAAGCAGGCTTCACGCTCAGTGAGGCTGAACCCCCAGCACGGGCTCAATCTTAAGACCCTGGGATCATGACCTGAACTGATATCAAGAGCCAGACGCTTAACTGACTGAGCCCTCAGGTGCCCCTAAAAATTAGAATTTTTGACTACTCTTCTAAAATTTTCTGTAAGTTTATCCAAGTGCAGAAGAAGCCTAGCACTGCCCAGTACGGGGGCCCAGGAAATCCCGGAGCGTGGGAACGAGGTTGGGGGCCCACCGCACCGTCCCCGTCACTCTCTGGCACCACCTGGTGGCAGGTGTCTGCTCAGGCGTGAGCAGGGAAGGGGCCAAGGTGGTGCTGAGCCTGGGCCTGGGGTGGGGGGAGGGCGCGGGAGACTGAGTAGGGATCCCCAGGTCCCCCCCCTCCCCGCTTGAGGACAGGAGCCAGTACAGGTGGGATGGCACTGACTCCACTTGTTCTTCACAACACCCGTGAGTGAAACGAAACCCAAATTTGTTCTTTTCTGGGAAGAGAGAGACAGTGAGGACACAGTACAGGGGAGAGAGTCAACGTCCAAACCCCTCTTTCTGGACGGTCCGTGGGGCCCCCTGCCCTTGCCCTGTGACGGCTCTCATGCCGGAACCGGGCCAGGGGCTGTGCGCTAGCTCTGGCCGCGGTGCTCTCAGAGCTAAGGACTAGGAGCGTCTCCAGCGCTGAGCTGAGCCCCGAGACCCCCCCCCCCCACTTCACTTTGCTGAGAAGACCTGCTCCCGGAGCCGCCTCAGGCAGCGAGGCTTCTGTCAGCGTCTGTCGTCGTCGTCAGCCTTCCCGGGGCGCCGAGCGAGCCCGTCGGGGATCTCAGCCCTGTGCTGTGGCCTCACGAGGGCTTCTCTGCCTCAGAGGTGTCGTGCGGGCCGGCCGTTGTTTCAGCCCCAGGGCCCTTGCCCACAGACGTCCCGTCTTGTGTTCCAGAGCTGGTGGAAGACGCCGCGAGTGGCCCCGAGTCCCTGGACGGCCGGCCCTGCGGCCTGGGCGCCGAGAAGGAGCCCCTCCGGACGCTGGGCCTCACCAAGGAGGTGCTGGCCGCTCACACCCAGAAGGAGGAGCAGAACTTCCTGCTCAAGTTCAAAGAGCTGCGGAAGCTCCACATCTTCCAGTCTCGCTGCCACCATTACTTACAAGAAAAGTCCAAGGGGCAGTGGAGCGAAAGAAGTAAGTGGCGACGCCTGACCTAAGGTGGATTTTTAAAAGCTTTATATTCTCGGTGGAGTGAGGCCCAGCGCTGCTTTCAGAGTGTGAAAGTCCTCAGAACACCTGCGTTTGTAAGATACGTGTTGGAACTTAGCGGTGATGCAGTCTCTTGCAGTAGAAGCAGGTGTCATCTCGGGTCCCCAAGGGAACAGTGGCATCAAGAGCAGTGACAGCCCCTGGCTGGCCCCTGTGGAACACAGGATGGGGCCATTGCAGCGACGCCACGTCAGATGTTTCTCCCTGGGTGACTGTGAGGGGCAGGGGACCCTACCTGCCCACAGTAGTGACAGGCATTTGGTGTCAGACTCCTGGGCAGGGTGGGGCCCCAGCCAACATCCCTTGTCCCCAAGAGACGTGTCCTTCTGGCTGGTCTGGCCTCAGGCTTGAAGGCAGCCCCTCGGGAGTGCAGAAAGCTGCCTTTTAGGCTGAGCGCCAGCGGCTGGCTCAAGGGCATGGGGTGAAGTAGGGTAGACGGGGCTAGACTGATCAGAGGTGCCACCTCTTCCCTGGGCCCCCTAGTGGGTCCAGGACACGCACGCACCACAAGCACCCAGCTCCCACTGAGCCTCTACGCAGACACACACCGGTGAATGTGTAAGAAGTAAAAGGGGCTGGTGCTTTCAAGGATCACGTCTCTTCTACTCTTTAACTTTTCTCCTTCTTCCCCAGACTCAGGGTGACTGCCAGGCCATAGGGAATCTCTGGAAATTAGAAGAACATCTCCCACCGTGGGCAGACCCACCCTGAGGGCCTGGCTTAGTGCAGAGTTCCTCTCGCCCCCTTGGCCCAGCAGTTTTTACAGTGCACGGACTATACAGCTGTCCACAGCAGCCTTGTCTAGACCCTGATGTGTTATCCCCAGAGCCCAGTGCTTCGGCCACTAGTGCCACCAGGGGACAGATCTCCTATAGGAAGAACACCAGACAGAGGCTGAATCACAAAACCTCTACCCTCTTACCGCTTTGCCTCGGACTGGCCGGTTTGTCTCTAGTGTGGAGCAAAGGTGTGGACCACACCCCGGAACAGATGTCCCCGCATACCTGTGGCAAAAGCCCCAAGTTCCCCTTGGTGACATGAGACACCGAGGTTCCTGGGACCCATCCCAGGCATGGCGTGACACCCCAACCCAAAGTCCTGCTAGCGCTGGCCCGGGGCCAGGAGAGGGGTGGGGCCATGCCCAGGCTCCTCCCGTTACTGGTGTAGCCCTCCCGCCTTCTAAAGGCATCATCTCTGCAGCTCTGGTCACCCCACACACCTCCGCTCACATGCAGTCCACGCTTCATTCAACAGGTGGAGCAGGAATCTCTTGTTTTAAGGAACAGTTGTGATACAACTCGCAAAATTCAAAAATAAGGCCCGATGACATCAGTGGATCTACCCTTCAGTTTCACAGACCATGTCAGGAAACAGCATAGATTGATCAGCCTTTTTACTTTTTTTTTTTGGCCCAAATAAAACCTTCTAAATACTACTTTTCATCACTAGGATTGTGTACACCAAAGGACAATTTAATAGCAGAAGACAGCAAGCCACGTGGTCTTGCAGTGAAGGGCAGTCCTTAAAATTGGTTGGCTAGTTTCACAAGAATTTTGCCCTGAGTTTTCATCCTTCACCCAGGGCCCCGGGACACCTCTGCGGAGGCCCCATGGATCCCAGGCTGACACTGGGAAGCCCCGGACTGCTGACCTAGGAGGTGCCCTCGCATTTCTAAACTTCTACAAATCTCCAAAAACTGAGTCACATAAATGTTTACATCTTAACTCTGGTGGTTTTTGGTTTTTCCATTATTTTAGCCACCCCTGGACTAAGAAATACCTCTGGAATAGACTCATCTTGGAAAAAAACCGGGAAGAACAGAAAACTGAAGTCCAAACGGGCCAAGCCTCGAGATTCCTCCGAGAGCACCGGGTCTGGGGGACCGGCGCCCCACCGGCCCCCGCTGATGGGCCTGAACGCCACAGCCTGGTCACCGTCGGACACGTCCCAGTCCAGCTGCCCCTCGACGCCCTTCCCTGCCTCTGTGCCAGCTTACTCCCTGCCTGTGTTTCCAGCCCCAGGAATCGTGCCCACGCCGGGGCCAGTGGCGGCTGCGCCCATGGCTCCTCATGCTGGCTTCACGGTGCCCACCGTGCCCATGGACACCCAGCACGAGTTTGCCATCCAGCACCCGCCGTTCACTGTCCCCTTGGCCCCGGTCATGGCGCTGGTGTTCCCCAACTATTCCTTCCCCGCGGTGACCCCCAGCCTGCCCCAGGCCTTCTTCCCAGGCCAGCCTGACCTTCTGCCCGCGATGATCCCTGCCGCGCAACCTGAGCTCCCTGGTCGGACCTCCCCCCACAAACAGCCATGCTCGTGTCCTCAGGCAGAGCACGGGCCACCGGCATCTGGCACAGCCACCCCGGCCTCCCTGCCGTCCGCCTCTGGGCCCGCGGGCAGAGCCTCCCCTCCACTCTTCCAGTCCCGGGGCAGCTCACCTCTGCAGCTCAACCTCCTGCAGCTGGAGGAGGCCCCTGAGGGCAGCGCCGTGGCCACAGCAATGGCAGCGTCCTCAGGCCCCGCGGGGGCAGGGCCAGACTGCAAACCTGGCGCGTCCCGGGACCGGCAGCCGAAGGCCTTGCCAATTGTAAGGATCCCCTGATGCCCCTTCTGTAGGGCAGGCGCCACCGGCATGGCAGGGGCAGGGCAAACCTGCGTGCTCCCCGACGTGGGCGGTTACACACTGCGGCTTCTACCCAAGTTTTCAGTTTTGACATGATTACGCGTGCTGGAAATTGAGGTCTCCCAGTTAAACAGCCCTGTCAGCTAGAGCAGTGGGGGCCCTGCATTGCTTAGGGAGCCGAACAAAGGAAAATGGATTGATTGTCTGATGGCACCTGCAGGGTCCAGATAGCCGCACGTGGCTTGGTGACTGGCTACGGCCGCCTCGAGGTTCTCCGTGAACGTTGGGGGATAAAGTGCCGTCAGCTTAAATGCCAGAACTAAGTCTCGTCCGGGGGCAGGGAAGCTGGCACAGAGGCACCCCGGGGGGGGGGGGGGGGGAGGAGGGGCTCTGAAACCAGGCGGCCCGCTCCCCCCTCCCAAGCCCTAAGGGACGCAGGGGTGCTGTTCTCACTCGGGTAATGAGATGGCAGTTGTGTTTCCAGCCACCAGCTCTGCGTTCTGCAGGAGCTTGGGGGTGCGGTGCACGGGCGCCCCGAGGAGGAGAGGCACGGGCCCCGCCTGTGTTCCCAGCAGGGGGCGCACGGCCTTGCAAACACCAAGTCCCCAGTGCGGCCCCCCCAGGACCCCCCGTCACGGTTTCCGGGGGGGGGGGTGGGGGCCCTGCACCCAGTGCTGGTTCTGAGGATGGGCGGGTCCGGAGCTGTGAGGCCACGCCCCTCCCCCAGTCCCAAGGCCCCGCCCCCAGGCCAGAGCCCCGCCCACGGGGAGGAGCCGCCGGGTGCTGCGGAGCCAGTTCCCGGCCCCCCCTCAGGGGTCCTGGAACTGCGGTCTGGTGTGACGCCCCCACGTTGAGGCTGACTAGGCGGCCTTCATGGACCGCCGGGGGCCTGCTGCTGTCGCCCCGGTAGCCGCGGACGTGCTCCCTGGGCCCCTTCACTGGCGGGAGAAGGGAGGGCCAGCGACCTGGGGGACCTGGGGCCCCGGCCGCCCCGGCCGCGCTGACCGTCTGTCTTCTCCGGTTCCCGAAGCGCGAGCCGCCCGCAGACGCGCCGAGCCCCGACGCCCTGTCCGCGTCCAGCGGCCTGCTCGACCTGCTGCTGCACGGGGACCTGTGCTCGGCCCTGTCCGGGAGCGGGGCCTCCGACTCGCTGGGCTGCGACACGGCTGGGAGCGGAGCAGGTACTCGCGCCTCAGCGGCCCCCGTTCAGGGTGTCCTGGACGAGGGTCACCTCACGTACCTGAGGGCCGCCTCGGCTTTTCCCACCCCTCAGGCCGCAGCAGCCCGTGCGGACCGGGTCCCGCCGTCCGGCTCCGAGCGGCCCCCGGAGCCCACGGCGGTTCACACGGCGGGCCCGGCCCCTTCCCCTGCCCCAGCTCGGCGCCTGCGGGCCTGACACAGCTGTCCCCGCAGGCCTCACCCGCGCTGGCCCCCGGGGCTCCGGGGCCTGCGGGAGGGCTGGCCGTGTTCACCCTGCGGCCGAGCCCCTCTGTGGAGCCAGGGTGTGGGCTGCTGCTGGAGCGGCTAGGAGGAGCCCCGAGTGAGTGGAACTCTCTAGAGGGCAGAGCCCACACTCCGCAACGCCCCTCCCCGGAGTTCCCCTACCCTGCCCGGCCCGCTCCCCACGGAGGCTCACAGGAGAGCGACCCCCAAGCCAGCGAGCCTTGAGGAGCAGTGAGCCCTTGGAAAGAAGACCTCGCTTTCCATGACCCAGCCCCTCTGGACTTCTCGCCGGCCCAGGAGGGAGAGGACCCCCCACCACCGTGCTAGGAGTAGAAGTGGGAGGGAAAACCCCCCACCCTGGGCGCTCCCTGCCAAGTAAAACTCTTCAGCTCCCTAAATTTGCCGTTGCTCTGTATACGCACATCACACAAGGTTCGACATTGCATTAAAAGTTTCAACTTTACACGTTTTGTGTTTTTAAAGGCAGTAGTGACACGAGTCATACCAGCAAATATTTCGGGAGCGTCGACTCTTCAGAGAATAATCACAAAGCCACAGTGAAGCCGGACGTGGAAGAAAGCGAGCACTTCATCAAGTACGTCCTCCAAGACCCCGTCTGGCTGCTGATGGCCAACACGGATGACAGCATCATGATGACGTACCAGATGCCTTCCCGGTAACCACTCGACCTTCTCCCCAGGGATGTGGGACCCCCACCCCCACCCGGTTGGGGGAAACTCCCCTCTGAAGCAGCCTCATCTCAGATGCAGTTGAGCGCAGCAGACAGAGAAGTAGGGTGGCACCTGATGGCTCCATGATCCCGCCGCCTGCCGTCTGTGTGGACAGCGTGCCCCAGAGCCCTATGGAGTGACCTGCCATGGGCTGTGGGAGGATCGGCTCCTGGCCACCCTCCAGGGCATCGTGCTCAGTGCTTAGGAAGCATTGGTGCCGATGTCTGGTTCCCTTCTGCTATTGCCTAGTAACCCTGTGGGGCAGATTTGTATTTGTATGGGGTGTATTTGTCATAGGGATGCAGAGCCAAGGGTCGAGGTAGGTGAGCAGCCCTCAGCCACCGGCTGATCTGTAGTGACTGGGGCTGTGCCTCCACAGTGACTCTGTGTCAGGTCGTCCTAGTGAGCTGTTACAGTCACTGTCCCCGTGGAGCCCCCAGGATGGGGGAAGCTGGGGAAAGGGTTAACGCTGAGGCTCAGAGCAGGCAAGCCTCCGTGAGGGCTTATGGGGCTCCATCTCCGGGGCAGTGGGCAGCATCAGGATTTGCAGGAGGCAAGGGAGTTATTCCGCCAACCGCCTTTACAGCGAGAGCCTCCAGTTGGCCAGCCTGGGCAGCACCAGGCGTCTGCAGGTATCCTGCTCCCGTGTCTAATTTAAAATAAAACCAGGGCACCGGGGGGGCTCAGTCAGTTATGCGTCTGACTCTTGATTCTGGCCCAGGTCATGATCTCACGGTTCACGTTTTGGAGCCCCATGTGGACCTGGCATGGGACCTGCTTCATGTTCTCTCTCCCGCCCTCTGCCCCTTTTCTCTACTTGTGCTCTCTCTTTTTTTCTCTAAAATGATAATAATAATAATAATGCCAAAATTTTTACTCACAGTATCATTTTAGTAGAAAAACCATGGATTTTTGGGGCGCCTGGGTGGCTCAGTCACTTAAGCGTCTGACTCTGGCTCAGGTCATGATCTCACAGTTCGTGGGTTCGAGCCCCACATCGGGCTCTGTGCTGACAGCTCATAACCTGGAGCAGCTTTGGATTCTGTGCCTCCCTCTCTCTCTGCCCCTCCCATGCTCACGCTCTGTCTCTCTCTCTCTCTCTCTCAAACATAAATACACATTTAAAAAAAATTTTTTTAACTATGGATTATTTACCTGGGAGATTAGGTTACCTTAAATACGGTAATTTATTTTAAACAAAAAGGAAATTTGCATTAAACAAAATCACCCAAAATTATACTACTATGGAAAGAGCTAATAGAAAATGAGCATTTAAAAAAACACACAACAATCTGTCATGAAGACAGTCTGAACGTGCCTGTCTCTGAATGTTCTCTGAAGGAATTTGGAAGCAGTCTTAAAGGAAGATAGGGAGAAGCTGCAGCCGCTGCTTAAGTCGCAGCCCAGGTTCACGGACAGCCAGACGCGGGAGCTGCAGGAGGCGCACCCATGGCTGCGGGAAGGCCACCTGCCCGCCGCCGTGGATGTCACCGTAAGTCGCGCCGCTTAGTTTCTGATGTCGCATTACAAGGCACTGCGAGGGGGCCACTCCGTACTGTCTTTGCCACTGTTCTGCAAGCCGAAACCTCCTAGAATTTAAAAGGGTTTGTTAACGAACACGGAAGATACCGCGATACCGTCAGAGTCCGAGGAACTTTCTCATAAGGGCTCTGCCACAGTGCTCCCGGAAAGGTCTTCTGAGTGCTCAGTCTCGAGGTCGAATGCTGCAATTTGAATGTTTTTTTCTTTTAATTCTGTTTTCAATTAAAAAACCCCAACAACCAGGAAACAGGGAGAGCCGCTCCCGCCGTAAGCCCTCGCCGTGTCCGTGGGCCGTTAAGCAGCGGTAGGAACAGCGCTCCCACTGCTTTGCCTCACTGCCCAGACAAGGGCAGACTCCCCTCCGGCCTTGGGGGAGGGGGCACTGGGCCCCGGGGTTGGGGGGCAGCTGTGGCCTCCCTCAAGAGCAGGCAGGGTCCCGGCAGCCCCCGAGGCTCCCCATCCTCCCATCCCTCCTCTAGCAGCCTCCTGGCCAAGCACCTGCACCTCTTCCGGGTGAACTACTTTGTGGGAACGAGAATGTCATTTTTGTTACTGAGTTGACATTTTTCCTTTCAAGGGATGTGTTTACTGTGAGGACACGGGACCGGACAACATCTGTGTGCCACATGAGGAGGATGTGCCTACTCTGGGTCTCAGCGAAGCCATGGACACCAAAGAGGAGGGCAGCGGAGCCCCCTTGACTCACAGAAGTGAAGAGCAGACCTAACTCTGTGCTGGCCCTGCCCCCGGCCCCCACGGCCCGTGATCTGCGTGGTAGGTGGTGCTCGGAAGAGAGGGGGTTTCACCTCTGCTTGTCATGAACTGGACACATACCCTTATGTGGCTTTTTTTCTTTTAGGGAAAAAACCCACATAGTTTCCTGAAGGGGTGATTTAAGACTGTGGAGGGTGGGAAGGGTCTGGGAGGAAATGAATTTTTATATTTAAAACATAAATACAGAGTTTGGGGGGCAGGCGGACAGATTTTCAGTATTGTTTAACCCGAGAAAGCCTGAATCCCCTCTTTGCGCGAGTCCAGGCTCCCGGAAGTCCCTGGACTCGAGGAGGCTTCTCGACGCCCCCGTGGGTGTCGCCAGGCCTCTCGTGGGCTGCGGCAGACAGCGGGGAGCTTCCCTGGTGGGTGTTCTGGTCAGATCACATTCTGGCCTCTGGGGGCTATTTATCTAAAGTATCATTTAGTCAAACTAGATGTTTTTAAAACATGCCAGCTGGAGATCACAGCCTCTCCTGATTCTCTTGCAAAGTGTTTTGTGTTAAGTGCTGTGAAGCCGCCCTAGCACGGCAGCAGCTTCAACGTCAGGTCCTACAGCAGCAAACATTTCAGTCTGGTGGAGCTTGTGTTTGGGGCAAACGGAGAGGAAATGCTCGCTGGAACCGAAGAGGCCCGGCGGTTTGCACGCCCCCTCCACCAGCCTAGCACACACCCAGAGTCTCCTGTGTCTACATCGTTCTAGTATATCCTTCTCAGACCATGACCAATAGGTCGGTAGAGTATGTGGTTGATTACATCTGTGATGACTTCGCTTTGCAGACCAAGCTTGGGTGGCCACGCAGGGAACTGTTAGTGTTGGTCCTTTGATGGGAGCCTCCCAGACAGGAGGCCTGGCACACAGTAGCCTCTGACATCGTGAGCCGGTGACCACGCCTGCGTTTTCCAGGTTGCCATGAGCTCACCTCTCCCACGGCGCCCCTGACTGGGATGCTGGCCCTCATTCTTTCCATGAGCCTGACCTCACTCGGGGCAGTTACGGTCTCTGCAGTGATGTTCCCCAGTGTCACCAGCACTTCCAGGTCAGCGGGGCACCTGGGGAAGAGTGAGGCCATCTTCTCACCGAACCTCATGTTGCATCATGTATCCCCAAGATTATTTGGGGAAAAGTTATATTGGTCCCTGGAATGAATGGAAACTTACCACAGGTTAAACAATGAACTTAAAATTGGACTGAGTTTGTAGAAACAGAAAAGAAAGCAGGCTTTCCCTTGTTGTCTGATAGAGACGGGGCTACTGGAGTATAAGCCTTCTTGTAATCTGCTTGGTTCTCAGTCTTACGTTTGGATATTCATCCCGTTTTCCATAAACTCAAATGCAAGAATACTGTGGGTTGTTGTTTTTTTTAACTTATAAAGTAACATCACCTTCTCATGATGCCCAGAATGAGGTAGTAGCCTGTGCGTAGGGGTGGAAAATAGAAGCTACCAAACCCGTCTCCTGCTTCTGAAGTCTGATCATTAAGGGATTAGATGCTGGTCAAGGTGACATGTGTGTTATGTAAACATACAGCTGTCCAGACGCTCTCCACTGCCCACTGCTGTCTACCACCGGCATTATGTTATTGTATGATCTGCGCTCATTGGCCATGAACGGCGTAGCCTCCACACCTTCCAGAAAGTTGACAATAGGAGCATTTTGTGAAATTGTTTACACGATGCCGCGCGAGATGTGTTTCCTTTAGTGTGCGTGCTTACACACGGGTTGTAAAAACTCTCTTGATTTTAAACTGAGCCTTCTTTTTAATCTGTTCCTCAACAGACATGTAAAAAAGCTCTCAGTGTCTGTCTCATGACTTGGTAAGCCTCGCCGGACAAGTGGTTTGTCCATGCACAAACCAAACTTTCTTTGCCCAGTGCAATATGTATGTTTACTGCTTGTGTCTTTTTATGACTGTTTTGCTTTTTAGAAAATTGGCAAATAAAGCGAGTATATTTTTTATTGTTACTTGGGTGTATTTTGAATGTAGCACAGAGCAAACACAATAGGCATCAAAGATTTCCAAAAGACGTGTTTCAACAGAGAACTCTAGAAGTGCCGTGTTCGGGACACTTCTGTCACAGAGGCCTCCCTCGTCTCTTCCGCTGGTCCTTTCCTGGTTGTGTGCACGCATGCGTCTCTCTTACACGCACCCTCACCACGTGCCGCCATAGCTGCCCGGTGAAGTCTTAGGACGTGAACTTCAGAAAATGTAAATCTAACCTTATAATCCAGCACTCCCATGGGCTTTTCACTTGCAGATGCAGGGGGGAGGCTGCTTGGCTCAGCACCCAACTCTTCTCCACTCCGAGGTGACCCCAGGCACCTCCTGTGTTCCCCTTGTGCTGTCCCCCAGGTTGTCTGTCGCTTCTAGGACAGATGGCTGTGCGCTGGCCACGGGGCCAAGGGCAGAGGTCTGCAGGACGCCCGCCAGAAGGGCGTCGTGTCTCCATCGGAGATGACAGGGGCAGCGCCACACAGTCCCCTCACTCTCCAGGCCCCTTCCTTCTTTCCACGGTGATGAAGCCTTGTGGGTCCGGGCAGAGCAGCGGGGTCCTGGTCCCCACTTCCTCCCACCTTTCACACCAGGACCATGAGGAACGGAGCAGAGACATGAATGGATCCTGGACCCAGTGCCCAGCTTCCCAGAAGCTCTCTGAGCAGGAGGGGGAGGCTTGACTCCCTGCCTCCTGGCCCGGTGGTAATGGGGGGCGGGGGATGGCTTGGGGGTGAGGGAACAAAGACAAAGCCCCCCTAGTAAGCACAGAGGCCTCTGCAAACTGGCCTTAAATGGCCAGAGATGGCTGTTTCACCAAACTGAGTGCCTTTGGGGACTCTTAATTGCATTTTTATTTACCATATAATCCCAAACCACCCCCCACCCCCGCTTTATTTCTAGACCAAAAGGAGCTTCTCCAAGCTTTCTGGGCTGATTGCCCACAAGGGGCCTGAATGTCCATAGGCTGGCCGCTGCCTTTGTTCCCTGAGGATTTATGGCCTGCCCCCCCTGCCGCTAACTGGTCCCCCTGTGGCCGCCACAGCCTGCCCAGCCTCTGCTGGCCTCTGTCCCTGGATCTGGGGGGATCAAAGGGCCCAAATGCTCAGGAAGTCTGTGCTCAAGCAACCTTTGAAGGTAGGATCAGGCCAAGGGACAAATGGCAGGAAATGGGTCCAGTAGAGGAGGCTGTGCAAAGGCGGGAGAGAGGGCTTGGTGGCCCAGAGATGGAGCAGCCAGGCGTCTGGGAGGACAAGGCCAAGCCAGCCAGCCAACTGAGGGAAATCGAGGCTAACTTCAAAGATGGGGCATTGGGCAACTTCTGGTCCAGCCAAGGATTTTGTTGACTCCTATACCCTGCTCTGTCCTTCTACCTCAGTGTACCCTGAGGCATCTCCCACCACCTAATTTTCCTTCCTTCGACTCTAGACAGTGTTCCTCAAACCCCACCTTCCTATGTAAGACAAGCCTTTTGAGGACCCTAGCCCTCCCTTCAGCCTTCTCCCTTCTGACAATAGTCACCTATCTTTTAGTTTTTACAAAGTCACCTTATATCATGTCCTGTAACCATAATAAGCCTTCCGTATAGATTGATCCTAAATGTTGAAACCCCATGAACAGTGTTGTATTGTTGTGGCTGTGGAAGAATTGCTAACTTCTAGGTCAATCAGTATGCTGAGATTACATTTCTCTTTGGGAGGAGCTTTTTATTTTTCCTGGAATTCCTAGTTGCCTCTCATTTTTTGCTTGCACTATCCACCTTTATCATGCCTTCCTCCCCCAACCCATAACCCATCCAGTCAAGTGTTCTATCGATCTTTTCCCAGAGGCCTCCCCCAGACCGCTGACCATCCTGTTCCAACATGGACTGCCTTTCATGGAGAGCATTCTAAAATACCTGTTTGGTCTTGTTCAAACAATATCATGGATAAGGGGAAGCATATGCATCAGACTACAAGGAATAGTACTGAGTTTATTTGTTCACATCTCAGATTCTCAAAGTAGGGATAAAACCAAAGTTGTAGTTACTTGGGGGTATCCTTCCCTGGAGTGATGTCTAAGTACTGAAGAACAGTAGAGTCACAGGCAAGCTATGTGTGGTCTTGGGGTCCACACTGAATCCCCTCCCCTATCAGCCCACCCCTGGGAATAGGGGGGAGAAGGGCCGCTGGGTTTCTGAGCAGCCAGATGAGGGGGAAGGAAGAGAGCTGAGCTTTCTGGCACGTGAGGGAGACAGAACAACTGGAAATAAAGGAGTACGTTTCTACCTGGGTGAACAGTGCTGGGCTGGAGAGGTCTTGGAAGACTCCGGAAGAGAAGCAAACAGGAGGCTGAGTGTGGACGGGTGAAAATCAACAGAAGAAACTCTCAGGTACTTGTAGAGGTCAGTGAGGTGACTTTGGGAAACTTCAAACCTCTTACCAAACTTGCCTGCCTATGAAGGCCCTTCCGGTGGGGAGCCCAAAGCGAACCAGTCACCGGGAGGGCTGCAAGGTGCAGCTTCAGGGGGCCGCGTGGGGGGCTGTGGTTCAGTCCTACCACCCACTCACCACCATGGGGCAGTGCCTGCATGTTTCCTTCCCCTGCTGCTTTCCAGCCAGGCTTGGGGCGTCCCCTCACTTTGCCTGTCCACCCAGGCTTCCGCGGAGGCCCAGCTCTGCGCTGGAGGTAGATGGAAGGTCCTAGGTGCCCTTGACAAGGGACGCTTAGAGCTTGGAGGGGTGCAGACCAGACTCCCGCAGCCCCAGTCCCTGGTGAGTGGTGCAGGACTGGGTAAAGGGGCGGTGCCACTGTGGGCAGGTGCACTCCCACCGGAAGAGGAAGAGGGAAGCGGAGACCTGAAATAGACCTAGGAAAGAGTGAAGTGTTCCCGGTGGAAGGCTCGGTGGGTGCCAAGGCCTGGTGGGGTGGCCAGAACCCATCTTGCCATTCCCACTTCACTGTGCTGTGACGTTTACCTAGGCCAGTGGAGCAGGGAACAGGCCGGGATCCCCAGGTGCTGCCCAAGGGCGCGGCCCCACCGCCCATTCACCCCCACACTCCCCCCACCCCCACCCCCGGCCCGCGCCGCAGAGAGGCCAGTCTGGCAGATGGGCGGCCCGCGGTGGGGGTGGCGGTCGTCTGGCGGACACGGGTTCACCCGCCCCCCGCCGCCGGACAAAGCGGGTCTAGACAAAGGCGCGGCCAACACCTGTCGCTCTTGGCTCAGCCCCCGCTTTTCTCCACCGAAGCGGCTGCAGCTGCCAACTGTCATGGGCATCAAGTTACGGGAACCAGACGGCGACTTACGCGAGCCTGGGCGAGGGGAGGGCTGGGAGAAAAGGGAGCCGAGGGGGAGGGGTGGCGGGGGACGAGGGAGACGGCCACAGGGAGGGAGGTCGGGGCTCAGGAACAAGAGTGGGGACCAGAGAGGGACGGGCGGGGAGCGGGGAGGACTGGGAAGAGTGGCAGCGAAGGGGAACCAGGGCCAGGCGAGTGTGGAGGGGGACAGCGAGATCGGGGGGGGGGGGGCAGGGGAACAAAGGGGATTAGGGGGGCAGGGGGGAGCTCAGGGGGACAGCGATGATGATTAGAAAAGAAGGGGCGTGGTACCAGAAGAAGGGGGGGAAGGGTGACCAAAGAAGGAGCGCCCTGAGGAGGGGCGGTGCCGGCGGGCCCGCCCCACTAGGACCCCCATGCTGGCGGAGGGCTGTGTCAAGGGTCGAGACGGGACCCACACTTGCGCAAGAAACTCAAGGGAGCCCCGGGGCCCCTCCCACCCCCGCTACCCCAGAGGCCCCCATCTCCCCGGGGTTCCGCAGCTTTCCCAACCCGGACCCGTCGACCTTTCCAGGTCCAGAAACCGCGGCCTTGACCGTGGCTCTGCCCTTTACAGTCCAGCACGCTGACGCTCCTCTCCGGAGGCGCCTTGCACGATCTAAGACAAGCGTGAACGCATGAACGAGCGCCTGCTCTCATGCACAGCAGACTTGGGGGCCCTGCTCAGGTAGGGAGCAAAACAAAACAAACGCACCCCCGGCCACAGCGCCCGGGGTCACCGCCCCGTCGGGCGCCCAAGCCGCGGCGTGGCGCGGAGGCCCGGCTGGGGGCCCCGCCTGCCGGCCACGCCCCACCAGCTGCCTGTCGGCCCCGGCGGCTGGGCCGGACAAAGCGCGCAGCTCTCATTGGCCGCGCCGCGCCCAGAAGCCGGAGGCTCGGGGCCCGCGCGGCCAATCCGTGCATTGAGATGCAAATAAGGGGCTATAAAAGGGGGCGGGGCCCAGGCCGGCGGAGGATCGGGGGAGCCGGGGCTGCGGCGGGCGCGCTGCGAGGGGCGCGGGCGCTCGTGTCGCCGGCCGCGCTCTGGGCGGCGCGGGTCATGGCTCCGCCCCTGGCGCCCGGCCGGGACCGAGCGGGCCGAGAGAGCGAGGACGCCTGGGAGGCTCGGGGGGACCGCAAGGTGCCGGCCGGGGCCGCAGGCGGGCAGGCGGGCGGGGGGCCCGGGACCTGGGCTCAGTTGCCCGCTTCCCGCAGGCCCGGAAGCCCCTGGTGGAGAAGAAGCGGCGCGCGCGGATCAACGAGAGCCTTCAGGAGCTGCGGCTGCTGCTGGCGGGCGCCGAGGTGAGCCTGGCGGGCGGGCGGGCGCCCCGGGGCTGCGGGGCCGGAGCGGGGGCGCGGCCCTGCCGGCCCTCGCGCCCGCCACCCCACGCCCCCGGCGCTCCCGCCCGCGCAGGTGCAGGCCAAGCTGGAGAACGCAGAGGTGCTGGAGCTGACGGTGCGGCGCGTGCAGGGCACGCTGCGCGGCCGGGCGCGCGGTGAGTGGCGGCGGGGCGCGGGGCGCGGTCGCCCATCCGCCCCCTCCTCGGCCTGGGGTCTTACCCCGGGCTCCCTCCGGGTCTCCTGGGTAACCCCTGTCCCCGCGGGCTGGCGGAGGGGGAGGGGGGTCCTGGCCACCGCAGTCGCTGCTTACCGGACAGGGCGCCTCTCTCTCTCTCCGATTCCCGACTCCCGGGTGCAGAGCGCAAGCAGCTGCAGGCGGAAGCGAGCGAGCGCTTCGCGGCCGGCTACATCCAGTGCATGCACGAGGTGCACACGTTTGTGTCCACGTGCCAGGCCATCGACGCCACCGTCGCCGCGGAACTCCTCAACCACCTGCTCGAGTCCATGCCTCTGCGCGAGGGGAGCAGCTTCCGGGATCTGCTGGGGGACGCCCTGGCCGGGTCTCCGGGAGCCCCTGGGCGAAGCGGCTGGCCCACGGGAGGGGTCCAGGGGTCCCCTCTGCCCAGTCCCCCGGGCCCCGGGGACGACCTGTGCTCCGACCTGGAGGAGGCCCCCGAGGCTGAACTGACCCGAGCGCCTGCTGAAGGGCCAGACTTGGTGCCAGCAGCCCTGGGCGGCCTGACCGCTGCTCGCATAGCCCAGAGCGTCTGGAGGCCTTGGTGACTAACGCCAGCCCAGCCGGAGGTTTGCAAGGGTGGGTGTGGCCTTCCCTTGCTCTGTTCCCTCCTCCCTGGGGACAGACGTGGTGCCGGCAGGGGCCTGAATGTCTCCCAGATCTGCCTGACGTCTTCCTCCAGTGACTGTGTGGCAGGGCAGTCCAGGAAGCCCAGCCCATTCGGGCCCCTGGCCCTATTTCTTAAGCGCGTATCTTTTGTGGGACCCCCACCCCCAGGCCTGGGTCGGGTGGCCGGCGGGAGCTGCGGGCGGGAGGAAGACTCCTAACAGAGCCATCAGGGTTCTCCAGGACTGCAGGCCGCCCAGCCTTCCCAGGTACAGTGTGCATCCGGGGGCAGGGGTGCTGAAACCCTTCTGGGTGCTGGGCACTAGTGCTGGGGACAGAGGGAGACCTCGGACCCTGGTGGCCCTGGCCTGAGCAGAAGCTTGAACTCGCCACTCCCTCCAGGACACAGGGGAGGCAGGTGCACTGGGCAGCACTGCCTGTCACCTGCCAGACAGAAGCCGAGCCTCCCTGAAAGTCTTGCATTTAGCACACTGGGGGGGTGTGTATTAGGGTTACCAACACATGTTCCAGTTTTGTCAAATAAAGGATTTTGGAGAGTTAGTTACCCTTCAGAAGTATGACTGACTGATGTCTAATGTGTAAAAACTAAGGAAGGGCATTTTTCTTGTATCTAACGTTGGTGAACTTTTCTAAAACCTCCCACCCTTTGCCAGCCAAGCGAGGAGTAGAATGGTGGTGGAGATTGCCCCCCCCCCCGGGTGGCACGTCTCACAACGGATGGTGCTTCCACCCCCCCAGGGACTGTGTGCAGCCTGGAGATGGACACCACCGGCATGGGGCTTGTCTCCAGAGTAACAGCACCAGGGAGAGAGCCTGTCCCAGGACCATTGTCTGGTATACAAGCTTCTAGGAATAAAATAAATTCCTACTTCCTAGCCATGTGGTTTGGAAGTTTCTTTCAAAGATCTGTTTTAGGATCCATGATGCAGACATCAGTCTACCTGTTAGGTTGTCTCTCTTCCTGACCGAATAGGGAGCTTCCTTCCCCCAGAGCCAGGGAGGTCGGGGACATGGAGACCCTCTCGGTTCATGGCTTGAAGTCAAAGCACTGTGGCTCTAGGCAGCTTGGACTGAAGATCAGACTGGGCCCACGAGGTCAGAAGCCTTGAAAGGAGAGTGATGGGGGCGCCTGGGTGGCTTAGACGGTTAAGCGTCCAACTTTCGCTTAGGTCATGATCTCGCGGTTCGTGAGTTTGAGCCCCGCGTCGGGCTCTGTGCTGACTGCCAGCTCAGAGCCTGGAGCCTGTTTCAGTCTGTGACTCCCTCTCTCTCTGACCCTCCCCTGCTCACGCTGTCTCTCTCTCTCTCTCTCCTAGAAATAAATAAAAATAAAAAAATAAAAAGAAAGGAGAGTGATGGGGAACAGGGACAGTGCCCTCCTGGGCTGGGGCAGGGCCTGCAGAAAGCACATGGTCAGCTGACACCCGGTCACTCTACAGGTAGCCCAACTCGGTCACCTCCTGCTCAGGACCCCAAAGCAGCTTGGGTTGCCAGTGCCCAGACCAGGCCTGAAGTGTGACAACTCAGGGTTGTCACCTGGGTCTCCTCTCTGGTTGTGCACCTTTGCTTCGAGAACATCTTTCCCAACAGTCCTTTTACAGAGGCCCCCCAGCAGGCCTGGCCACCGGGGTGGGGGGGGTTCACATTGGCTCCCCTGTGGTTCAATCTCAGATCTCAGCCACTAGTCTGTATAACCAGATGCACCTTATTTTTAGCGACTGGGGATCAGCCAGTGGGATGGGAAGGCAGGCCCACAGGAGAGGGCTCAAGGCATGGGAACGATATTCCTGGACTTATTTTAGCTGCCCAGACAGACCGATGTAGGATGTGTCCACAGGGACAGAGACGGAGAGCAGGTCCCCCTGCAAGGCCTCTGTGGCATGTGGCTTCCAGCAGCACACAGGCCCCTGTGATAAGCTCTGATGCCACTGGGGGAGAGGGGATCTGCCAGGGACTGCTTTGAAGCGTTAACTCCTTCCTCTCACGTGCACACTTGTCACATTCTCCCAGACACCCTGGAAGAGGGCCAAAGGGCCCCCAGGACTCAGGATGCAAGGTGCAGCAGGCTGACCTGGGCGGAAAGGTGTCGCTGGAGCCAGGGCCCTCCTCAGGCCTGAAGCCACTAACCCAGGGCTCTGGCCCTCCCACCTACGTACGGGGCAGCTTCTCTGTATGCCTCAGAAAAACAAAACAAAACTTTAAAATAAAGAAAGAAAAAGGAACAGCTTCTTCTCAGACAGGTAAGTGGTCCCTAGAGCAGTGACCACGGGCGGCCTCCGTGGGGCGAGAGCTGTCCCCGCCCCTTCGCGGGCGGTGCAGCCCGGACCACCAGCGTCCTGCCCGCTTTCCTCGGGAAGCTCTATTTCCAAGTTTCCCACTCGGCCAGACAACTATCTCATGCCCCCTCCTTTCCCTGAAACCCCCCAGGCTCCCTCCCTGGCCCTGTTCTTGGCTGAGATTTGCTTCCCTCCCACATCAAGCCCCTGGCCCACTGTAGTGGTCTTCTGTGGCTGCCACGAATCGCCACACACTTGGTGGCTTCAAACATTGATTGATTATGTCGCATTTCTGTAAGTTAGAAGTCCGACACGGGCTTCACTGGGCCGAAGGAGGGGCCAGTGATTTCAGAGCAGCTACATCCCCTCTGGAGGCTCAGGGTGAATCCGGTTCCTTTTCCTGCTTCAGAGGCCGCCCACATTCTTCGGCTGGCAGCCCCTTTCCTCCAGCTTCCAGGCCACTAACAGTGCACCTGTGGGGCTCTTCCTTCACGGTCACATCTTCCGACCTTCGTGGCTCCCTCTTCCTTCTACTTTTGAGCCACCTCGTGATGCTCTCTGGGCCCACGTGCGTAATCCAGGACACCCTCCCTGGCTCAGGGTCTTCAGTCCTTCATCAGATTTGCAACACCTCTTTTGCCATGGAAGGCGACACATGGACATGGCAATGACGACGTGGACATATTTAGGGAACCATTATTCTGCCCAGGTAGTACCTTCCATCATGGCACGGCGTGGTGCCAGCCTTCCACACAGCCGTGGATTCGCTCCCCTCCGACCTCTCAGGAACCCTGCTGCGTCACCCATCTCTCCTCCCTCTGCATCATCCTACAAAGCTGTAATCTCTCCGTCTGGAGAAAGGAGATCCCGTCTCCCCGGGCCTGCCATCCCGTCAGGCTCGGCCTCCTTTTTCTGCTCTAAAGCGACGTTCCTTAAAAGCACCGTTTTCACTAGCGGTCTCCACTTCCGCACCTCACTCCCCTTCGCTCCCCTCCAGTCTGGCCAGCGCTCCCCTCGCCTCCAGGGAAGCTGCCCCCCGGCCAAGATCCCCCGTGAGCGCAGCGGGCCTGTCTCAAGTTTCAGCGCACTTGACCTTCCAGTGCAGCGTCCTCAAGGGCTATCACCTCCCCCCTCGGGACACTCCCTCCGCCTCAGAAACACGCACACTCCGTCCCTCGGGGTTGTCCCTGGCAGTCCTCAGTCTCCTTTGCGGACTGACCTCCGAATGCGGACCTGTGCGGTCCGGACCGGGCCCTTCCCTGTCACCCTGCCCTGCAACCCCACCTGGTCCACCCCGATCCGAAGCCCATCTCTATCCTCGTCCGCTCTTCAGCCTCAGATCTACCCAACACCTGCACTCGGACGTCCGACGGGCTCCACCCACGGCGGCCAGAGCGCAGCCGGCTCTCAACCCGCAGGGCGCCCGGCCCTTCATGGCATCCCGTTAACAGAAGATAATCTATACGGGTCACACTCTCGTCTCCTGCGGCCTCACCTGCACTCAATCAAGTGCACGAGCCCTCCTCCTAACTCCAGTCTCCCATCGCCACCTTTCCACCCGCAGAGGGCTGCCACCCCCGTCTCCTCTTTATTTTTTTTATATATATATATATTTTTTTTATTTCTAGGAGAGAGAGAGAGAGACAGCGTGAGCAGGGGAGGGTCAGAGAGAGAGGGAGTCACAGACTGAAACAGGCTCCAGGCTCTGAGCTGGCAGTCAGCACAGAGCCCGACACGGGGCTCGAACCCACGAACCGCGAGATCATGACCTAAGCGAAAGTCGGACGCTCAACCGACTAAGCCACCCAGGTGCCCCCCCGCCCCCCCGTCTCCTCTTTAACCTGGGCTTGCGCAGCAGGCCCCACCCGCCTCCCCACTCCCGCGTGCGGCGCCTGGTAGCCGCCTGCAGGGCCCGAGCAGGGACCCCGCAGCTGCCTCCGCGGACCCTCCCTCCCGCCGCTCCGCTCGGCCCTGGCGAGCAGCCGGAGACTGGGGGTGCGGGGAAAGCGGCTTTGGGAATGAGAGAGCGGAGCTCCAGGGGCCCTCGGGCTGAGCTCCGGCGGCACCCAGCTCCCCGAGGCGCCGCAGGGACTGGGAGGCTGTCCGGAGACTTCGGGAGACTTTCCGCGCTGGGCGGGGCCGAGGCCTGGGCCACGTCCCTCCCCGCCCGAGGCGAACCGCGAAGCCTCCTGGGAGATGTAGTTCTTGTCCTTCCATTTCCTCTTCCGCGAGGCCGCTGCAGGCCGAGCCGGGACCGCGACTCCCAGAGGCCTCCGGGCCCAGAGGCCACGCCCCCTGCCGTCGAGCGTCGGGAGCGCGGTGCCGGCCAGGATCCTAGTGTCTTCGGGCAAGTGGCGGCGTCCCTGCTGCGGCTGCGCTGCCGTGCCTGCAGCAGTCCTGGCACCGGGAAGCCCAGACCTTACCAGGTTCTTAATGTCTGTCCTTGGGTTTAGATGGGTCTAGAAGAAGGAATGGGGTTTTTAACTGGTGACCAAGAGGCCTAGTAGGTTGTCGTGGGCGCACCCAGGCATCCTACCCCGGCTAGACCTGCGCTGCCGAGTCGGGGCCTTGCTGCTCCGCCATCAGCAGGTGACGCTTGGGGTGCTGTCCCCCTCCCCGCTCCAGGTCCTGCCCCGCCTTAGCCTCCGAAGATCCGCCGTGTGCTCAGCCAAGTCGGTGACCGTTCAGGGGACCCTGTCACCCCCACGGCCGACCTAGCTCCCCAACCTTAAGCTCCTGCCTTCTGTCTCAGCCCCCCTGGAGTGGAACGTGTTGCGCCTCGCTGGGACCCGGTCACTGCCCCAGTTTCCTTCACAGCCCAGTTTCTTGAAAATAACTTCTGTTTTCCTTTTCTTCATTTCCTCGCCTGCTTGCTTGTCACAGAATGTCACTCTTGCCCACATTTCCCATCACTGTACCGGAAGCTTCTGGAACTCTCCAAGGAAGTCCTTACTGCAAAGTCAACTCTTTAGTTTTCTTCTTGCCTAAATATTGAAGCATTTCACATTGTCAGTAACCTCATGCTTTTTATTTCTTGCAAAAATATATTTTTTTAACGTTTATTTATTTTTGAGAGACAGAGCATGAGGAGAGGAGGGGCAGAGAGAGAGGGAGACACAGAATCTGAAGCAGCTCCAGGCTCGGAGCTGTCAGCCCTGAGCCCAACGCGGGGCTCAAACTCACAAACCATGAGATCATGACCGGAGCCA